GATCAAAGGCAGCTGGGGAGAGCCCCCAGGAGCCCGCAGCCCTTCCCGGGTGGGAGCCGGGGCTCAGCGGGCCCCCCTGCGGGACCTCTGTCCTTCCCTGAGCCGAGGAGCTCCGGGCCCCCAGGCTCAGGGCTCAGGGGTTCCACCGGGCCTGGTCCCCCGCCCCTCGTCCAGCCCTGCCTGCTGCTGCTCCCGTGTCTGGGGGGCACAGGTCATCTCCCGGCCGCCAACGGGCTCACTGCCCACGGGGAGCAGGAAGGAGGAGGACGCGACACTGCTGGGAGGGTGTGACTGCTCGTGGCCCCGAAGGCTTGATAAAGAGATGTGCCCCTCAGGGGAACGTGTTTTCGATGCACATGGCAAAGAATTCATTTCCCGTACAAAGCAAAGGGCTTTGCAAATTGTTAGAGCCGCCCTTCAGCAGCGTAAAAAGGGGCAAGTGCAAACCTGAGTGGTTGGAACCGTGAGACTGTGTCAAGGTCGTAACTAAAGCAGCAGCAGCAGAGTCGGCAAAGTGTGAATGAAACCGAGGGGCGTCCAGCGCTCCACATCCCTCAAAACGCAGGCTGCAGTGCCGTGGGGAGCAGGTCGTCCTACGCTGCATCCAGGCGCCCGAATGCCAGGGGTGGCCCGAACTGTGGTGGTCACCTCCGTGCCCATCGGGGAACACAGGCCACCTGGGGGAACGTCCAGGTCGGGCCCGGGCTTGGGAGGGGAGAATGCAGGGCATCTCGGTCTGAGGCCACAGAAGGTCCAGCGGAGGCCAGGAGGCCAGGGGGCAGTGACCAGGACCGCGGCTCCCTGCAGCGTGGTGACGACAGCAGAGGTGAATCGGCACTGTCCTGTCCAACGGGAGATGCAGGGAGGCGGGCTGCGGGGCCGCAGCTGCCGGGGGAGGGGCCTTGGGCCTGTGCTGGTGTCCTGGGGAGAGCAGGGAGCTGGACACAGGTGTCGGGGGCACCTTGTCCAGGGGTCCGAAGGCCAAGAGGAGGGTGACAGGTGGGGGAGGGGCCTGTGGGACCTGAGGGCACCCTGGCTCCCCTGCCGAGGGGCTGAGCTCTGGCTAAGGTCCGGGGGAGGGACTCCAGGTGTCGCTGGAGGGGCAGACGGCCCGTATGTGGCGTGGGTCAGAGTGACCACACTGGGGACAGCCTCTGGCCAGTGACCAGGGAGCGCGGGAGGGCAGATGTTGGCCTGGGGTTGGCCCAAGACAGGCTGGGGGGCAGGGGCACAGGATCCCGGCGCTGAGTGAGGGGCCGGGCTTGGGTGCGGGAGGGGCCCTGCTGGTCGGGCCTGGGCGGTGGCCAGACGGGGTCTGAGGGCTCCCCTCGCCCCCAGGCCTCGTGAAGCTGGGGATTCACTGTGTCACGTGCCAGAAGGTGGCTGTCAAGATCGTCAACCGCGAGAAGCTCAGCGAGTCTGTACTGATGAAGGTGAGCTTGGGGGCGGCCAGGGGAGGTGGGGAGGCCCAGTGGGCGGGGTGGAGCCAGGCTGCAGGCGAGCTGCCTGGGAAGGGGGTTCCTGCTGGGTCCTGCTGCCCCATCTGTTGAGAGGGCTGGCTGGCCTCAGTTTCCCCCGTTAGAATCAGGAGGAGACCCCTGTCTCTGAGGGAGAAGAGGAAGTGCGGGGTCCCAGGAGGCCTCGCAGCCCCTCCTCCTCCCCGCTCCCCCCACCTCAGCATCCCCTCAGCCCTGGTGGAGTCCGGTCCCCTTAGGGACTGAAGCAGACCCCACGTGACTGGAGGACTCCTGGGTGGGACCAGACACTCAGCGGGGAGGGGCTGCCCAGGCTCTGTTCCCCGTCTGTCTGCTCATCTGTCCGAACGGCTGTCCTCTCAGCGGGCAGGGGTGAGGGGCAGAGGGGGGGCAGGAAAGCAGGTGGGCCGTGGTGGGCGCCGGCCAGTGACACAGTGAGGACCCCTCTGGCCGGTGGGGGCGGGGGGGACCGGGTGGGCCCAGCTGGGGAAGCCTGGGGGATGCGCCACGGGCTGGTTTTAAGGGGAGGTGGCGGTCGTTTGGATGGGGTGTGGGCGGTGCTGGTGATGGCTTGACCGATTCCCGTCCTGCCTTGGCCAGTGCCCGGCTTGGGGGCGGGTCTTACGTGTCAGTTTGGGGCGCTAAGGTCAAGATGCCACAAGATATCTGAGTGGGGAGACAGGAGCTATCTCAGTGGAAGTGGACCCGGGGGTGTAACCGGGCCCCCCCCGGAGGCCTGGCAGGGACCGAGCGCAGCTGGGGGAGGGCAGGGAGGCGGCCCACGGGGTAGAGATGCCAGTGCGAGGCTGGACCTGCCCCAGGAGCCCAGCATCCCGGGGGCTCTGTGACCCCACAGCCTGGACGGGTGGGTGGGCGGCGCACGGGTGGGGGGATGAGCCCGGCCTGCCGTGACGGCGCCCCCTTCCCCGCAGGTGGAGCGGGAGATTGCCATCCTGAAGCTGATCGAGCACCCCCATGTCCTCAAGCTGCACGACGTCTATGAAAACAAAAAATATTTGTAGGTATTGCTGGGTCCGGAGAGCTGGGGGGCAGAGGGGGGCCGTCCCGGGAGGGGGTCTGCAGGACAGGCCATGGCGGTCACTGCTCCTTGACCAGGTCCAGGGCTGGCCAGCGGGGACTTGCAGAGCCACTGGCTTGAGGATGGGGCCTTGTGGGGAGCAGACTCGGGGGAGGGGGGCGTTGAGGGGCAGGAGCACCTCAGGCCCTTTCTCCCGGCCCCAGCGAGCCTCAGGACCCCGCCGCTCTGCTGGGGGCTCCCACGGACCCCGTGCCAAGCCCCTTGGAGCCCCCGTGTGCTCCCTCACGTGGGTGGGGACCCCAGGCCGGCGGACCGCACTGTCGCTACCCAGGCCCCTCCCCCAGCCTGCTGTTGGGATGCTGAGCGTGGCTGGCCTGTCACCACCGAGGCCACTGAGGCTGGCGGACATTTCCCCGCGTGGGCAGCCCCCCCCGTTCCCCGCTGTGTGGCCTCCGCGAGCTTCCCTGGGGATGTGGGTGGCCGCTCACAGGGTCCCCTCGGGGGAGTCAGCTTTGCCGCTGCCCTGTGTGTGGCCGTAGGAAAGGCCTGGCTGCTGGGCCGCGTCCCTCGGGGAGGGGACGGGCAGCTGGGTGGGGGGGTGTGGGCAGGGGGCTGGCCTGGCACGGTCCCCGCAGGCCCACTGCCCCAGGGGCCCTCAAGGCCTCGAGCCCAGCCCTGACTGGGCCCCTGATGCAGGCTGGCCTTAGCCGCTGCAGCGCTGTCTCGGGCAGGGGAGGTGGGGGCAGGAAGTGGCCCTGGGGGAGCAGGGGGCCCGGGTTCAGCCCCAGCCCCTCCGACAAGCAGCGCCTGCTCTCGGGCCTCCCTCTCTTCCTGTGCCAGCCGGGGACCCAGCGCTGCATGAGTGCCCAACTCTGTGTTTAACTGCAGATAGGATGACAAGAGGCGCCCCCCATGGGGGCCCTGGGAAGAGCAGGGCCCCGGTTACCACGGGATTGGGGGTGGGAAGCAGGTGGTGGTCCTGGGCCCCCGACACTGCTGAGCTGAAGCCGCCATCGGGACCCCGTGAGGGCCACAGGCCCACGTGGGGACCCACCTGGCAGTGTCTTGATGACATCCATGAGTTTGGGGTATGGGTGGGTGCTGGGCAGGCCTTGCCCACCTCTGCACACAGGAGACCGGTCACACTGCCTCCTTCTGTTCAGACACTTGTGGGGGTGCCAGGCAGGGGGAGAGGCCCCCAGGAGGGGCAGGAAGCAGGGAGGGGCCCAGACAGCAGGCCAGGCGGGGGCACAGCTGAGCAGAGGCGGGGTGACAGGATGCCGGGAGCATGGTGGACAGCGGCCGGCCTTGGTGCTGGTGGGCCCAGCCCTCCCGGGGGTCCCAAGGCGGCCCAGGGAGCCTGGAGGCAGGGGAGCGGGCAGGGGACCTCTGCCACCGAGGTTGGGGCACCGCTGGGCCTGTGCTGTGGCTTCCCGCTCAGGAGCAGGGCAGGTCCCCTGGGACTGGCCCCGCCTCTGCTCGAACCCCACCCAGTGTCCCCACCCTGTGTCTCCAGCCGTTTCCTCCCCCCAACCCCTCCTCTCTGCAGACAGGCTGCCCCCCCCGCCCGCTCCAGCCCCTCCATTCCTGCAAGACCAGCTCCTGATACAGCCCCCCGAGGCCCACACCCTCATCCTCACCAGCCCTGGTCCCGCACGTCCCCTGTCACCCACCTCCCCTCCCCAAGCCACCGCAGCCCACCAGAACCACCCCTCCCTGGCTCCCACCAGGGGCTCCTCGGGGCCTGTGCTCAGCCCTCCAGGCCCAGCTCCCCTGAGGCCCGCAGGCATCCATGTCCACGTGTCTTGGACCACCCCCCCGCCCACCCCTAGAAACCAGCCCCTCAGATTCCACTCCAGGGAGGCTCAGCTTGGACACAGCCCACTGCTCACCGCAGAGGGGCGTGGGGTCCCCATGGAACCTGGGGCGCCATGGGAAGCCCACGCCTCCAGCAGCTCACCCCTACCCTCCGGCATCACCCCAGCCGTGAGCAAAGCTGGGGGCGTTCACCACCTGCCTCCCGGCCACACCCACCCAGTCCCTCGTCCCACACCCGCCCCCTATCTTCCGAGACCAGCTGTGCCCTGTCCCCCACCCATGCCTTTTTGTGGTCTGCCCTGCTGGCCAGGGCTCCCTGAGGGCCTGAGTGTCTGTGTGTCCCCCCGCTCCTCTGGGAGCCCAGCCCGGGGTGGCCAGGGAGGGCCTGGAAGGGCCAAGCCTCAGGCTCGCAAGAAGGTCAGCAACTGCAGTGCCCCTCTCGCCTTGGGGCCCAGTGTGGCCCTGCTCCTCTGGACCTGCTTCCCTGGAGGCGGGAGGGGACCCCACCCGCTGAGGGTGCCCAGTGCCGGGACGTGGTGGAGGATGGCGCCGGGATGGGGTGGTGGCCCACCGCCTCTGGGCCGCGGTGCCCTGGCTGGGTGCGCCCACCCGACGCCCACCTGTCCCCCGCAGATACCTGGTGCTAGAACACGTGTCTGGTGGGGAGCTCTTCGACTACCTTGTCAAGAAGGGGAGGCTGACCCCCAAAGAGGCTAGAAAGTTCTTCCGGCAGATCATCTCTGCGCTAGACTTCTGCCACAGTCACTCCATATGGTGCGTCCCCCGCCCCTCCAGGGGCCCTGTCCCCCACCAGCTAGCCCCCGTCCCTGCAGGTGTGCCTCCCCCCACTCTTGCACTCCCCCCGTTCCCCCTGGATCAGGTAGTGTATCCTCTACTGGCCCCCCAGCCCAGGGGCATCAGAAAGCTTTCTGCCAGGTGCCCACCCAAGTCTCCTTGGTTATTTCAGGGGTCCTGGGGTCAGGGCACCCTCGGTCTGGGGGCTCCAGGTTGGCCTCGGCCCAGAGTAGGTGTGGTGGTGGGAGCAGCGAAGGGGAACGCGACCTCAGGGAGCAAAGCAGAACTTGCCCCTTGCTGGCAGAGTCCCTGTCCTTCTATCCTGCCACCTTGAAGCCGTCTGCCCCGTAGGAGACTTTCGATTGGCTGCTGGTGACATCACCAGGCAGCGCTGCCATTGGCCTCATGTTGTGAGGGCGGGGTTTCGGGAGGGGCGGCAGCTCCCACCCCTGTCAGCCTCAATCCCGCCTTCCTTCCCAGCCACAGGGATCTGAAACCAGAAAACCTTCTGCTGGACGAGAAGAATAACATCCGGATCGCGGACTTCGGGATGGCGTCGCTGCAGGTTGGCGACAGCCTGCTGGAGACGAGCTGCGGGTGAGCTGAGCCCCCGGACCGGCTGCCGCTTCTCCATAGGCCAGGGGCTGCTGCCCCGCCCACAGCCTGGCCCCGCGGCTGCCCAGCCAGGTGGCCCCGCAGCCCCAGGGCCCCCCAGCACCCCACAGCCTGGGCTGGAGGCAGGGCCCCGGCTCTGCTCCTGGCACCGTCTCCCCGGTGCAGTGAGGGGCTGCAGGCGACCCGCCTGGCCCATTACATCCCTCGGCTCTGTGGCCAGGCTCGGAAAGGCCGGTCTTGCCCTGGGAGCTCCCTGCCGTGCTTGGGAGTGAGGCTGGCGTGCCAGCTTCCTGGCTGCAAGCACTCTCATGGGGGTGCCTCACGGTCCAGCCTCTGGTGACCGTCTCCTTGGGCAGGGCAGGTAGGCTCCTGGGTCCCAGGCCTGGGCCTCCCCCAGGAGCAGGCAGGGAGATTAGGTTGTGAGGGAATCAGCACCGAAGCCCTGGGGCCTCCTGGTGGGCCTGAGGGTCCCACAGTGGGGCATCCGTCCCAGGCAGAGTTTGCGGTGGGGGCGGAGCGGGGAGGGCCCCTCCCTCCGTCTCCACCTGCTGCGGTCCTGGGGCCGGTCCAGAAGCGCAGGGGGCGGGACGGCTGGGTGCGCGGTGGGTACTGAGTCTCCTGCCCTGACTGCTGCCTTTGCCTCCAGGTCCCCCCACTATGCCTGCCCGGAGGTGATCCGGGTAAGTAGCCAACCCACCACGCGCCCCCATCCTGGTCCCTGTCCCGCCTAGGGGGCCTCCCTGCCCCGGAGATCGTGGACCCCCAGGCCGGGGCCTGGCCTCCTGTCCTTGGCGCCGCCCACGGGGCCAGCTCCTCCCAGATGCTCCCCTTGGGCCTCTCGATCCCCGGAAAGACCCCGGCCCTGCGCCCGCACCAACCCCAGTGCTGTCCACAGGGGGAGAAGTACGATGGCCGCAAGGCAGACGTGTGGAGCTGCGGCGTGATTCTGTTCGCCCTGCTTGTGGTGAGGCTCCCCCCGCCCTCTCCCCCGCCCCGCCCCCATCCCGGCCCGCCGTCGGTCCGCCCCCGCGGTGACCCGGTCCCGCCGGCAGGGGGCGCTGCCCTTCGACGACGACAACCTGCGGCAGCTGCTGGAGAAGGTGAAGCGGGGCGTGTTCCACATGCCGCACTTCATCCCGCCCGACTGCCAGAGCCTGCTGCGCGGCATGATCGAGGTGGACGCCACGCGGCGCCTCACGGTGCGTCCCTCCTCCCCCAGAGCTCGCACCTGGGCGCACGGGCGCGGGGCGGGGGCCGCGGGCGTGCGCCCGGCGTGAACGTGCGCAGGGCCGTCCGCGCGCGAGCGCGGTCCAGGAGCGCGGAGCCACTCCGGCCGTCCGGGGCCTGCCCTGTACGCGCGAATAGTTCCTCATGACCGACGCCAGTGGCCAGGGGCTGGCCGGGGTACTGAGGGAAGCCCCAGCCAGCCGTCTCTGGCCTCCTCTGGGCTCGGTTCGTGCCAGGATGTCAGGTCCCTCGGGGAAGGGGCAGCAGGACTGCCCAAGAGGCCGCCCTCCCCAAGCAAGCCCCCCTAGTCAGGGTGGAGGGCGGGGTAGCCCCAGCCTCCTGCTGACACCTGCACCCAGCGCCTCCCGCACGGGTGGGCTGAGCCCTGGCTGCTTCCCCCTGCTGTCCTCTCTCAGGCCTCCCGCCCTGAGCCCCGGGGGCTCCTGCTTCCCACCCCCCACACACTCTCTCTGCAGTGCCTGCAGCCCCCACTCTCCCCAGCTCTCTGCTTTCTCTAGGGTGGCGTTTTCTCTTCCACTTGACATAGGCAGGGTCAGGGGTGCTGGCCTGGAGCCCCGTGCTCCCCCCACTCTCCATGGTCCCCCCACCCCTCCCCCACCCACCTCCAGGCTCTCCCTACCCCCAGGTCCTCCTCCCTCCCTCCTCCCCTCCCCCATTCTCCTGCTCTCTCCACACTCAGGCCCCCACCTCCTTGCTCCTTCATGGCCTCCTAACGTGGCCTCTGCTCCTTCCTCGTACTAACTCCTTGTTTTTCTTTCCTTGTAGCTAGAGCACATTCAGAAACACATTTGGTATATGTAAGTAGCTTTTCCTCCCCTCATCGCCTGCTTTGCCTGCGCTGTGGCCTGGAGGGCCTGCTAGGGAAGGCGGGGGGCGGGGGGGGGGGCAGGGGGCCCGGGGCAGGGGGCCCAGCGCAGGCTTGCCTCCAGCCTCGGGCCACCCGGCCAGCTCTTGGGGGCCTCTGGGCCGGCCTGCGCTGGGCACATGCAGGATGCAGGAGTGTGCAGGGGCTGGGCACAGGGAAGGCAGCAGGATTCGGGGCCCCAGGAAGCGGGGGGGGCGGAGGAGCCTCGGGCTGGGCCAGAGGTGAGTGACTGGTGGTGGCGGTGCCCTGTCACCCACAGAGGAGGCAAGAACGAGCCCGAGCCGGAGCAGCCCATCCCCCGCAAGGTGCAGATCCGCTCGCTGCCCAGCCTGGAGGACATCGACCCCGACGTGCTGGACAGCATGCACTCGCTGGGCTGCTTCCGGGACCGGAACAAGCTGCTGCAGGACCTGCTGTCCGAGGAGTGCGTCTGGGAGCCGCGCCGGGGCGGGGCCTGGTGGAGTCTGTGGGTGGGAACACCGCCCCCCAGGAACCCCCATCCACCCTTCCTGGCGCCTCTCGCCCGCTGCAGGGAGAACCAGGAGAAGATGATTTACTTCCTCCTCCTGGACCGGAAAGAAAGGTATCCGAGCCACGAGGACGAGGACCTGCCGCCCAGGAACGAGATAGGTATGAGGTCCCCGGGTGGCCCGGCCCACGCTGCCCCCTCCAGGCTGCCCGGCCCTGACCCCCATCTGCACGCAGACCCTCCCCGGAAGCGCGTGGACTCCCCAATGCTGAACCGGCACGGCAAGCGGCGGCCTGAGCGCAAGTCCATGGAGGTGCTGAGCGTGACGGATGGCGGCTCCCCGGTGCCTGCGCGGCGGGCCATCGAGATGGCCCAGCACGGCCAGAGGTGCGTGCCTTCTGGGAGGGCCCAGCACTCTGCCTCCTGGTGCCCCGGCCCAGTCAGCGACGGGGCCCCTCACGGGCTGTGCTGGGCCTGGCCTGGCTCTTCTCTGCGCCCCCGGCCCTGGGGCTGGGCTGCATGGGCTGCACTGGCTGCACTGAGCTGAGCTGGGCTAGACTGCCCTGGGCAGGGCAGATCTGGGCTGGGCTGGACTGAGCCGAAGTAGGTTGATCTGGGCTGAACTCTGGGCTGGGCTGGGCTGGGCTGAGCTGGGCTGGACTGGCTGAGCTGAGCTGGACTGGAGTACACTGGGCTGGGCTGGGCTGAGCTGGGCAGGGCTTTGCTTTGTTGGCCTGGGTTAAACTGGGCTGGGTCAGGCCATCCTGGACCGGACCGGGCTGGGCTGGGCTGGAGTGGATTAAACTGAGATCTAAGCTGAGCTTAGCTGAGCTGGACTTCAGGGGGCTGAGCCGGCTGCTCAGAGATGAAGCTGTGCTCAGAGCTGCAGCCCAGCAGGCATATCCCCGATGGACGCTGAGCCCACGTCTGGGTCACCTGTGGCAGTGCAGGGCCCAGGGACGTGGAATTCGGGGGCAGGGCGGTGGGTGAGGAGCAGGTCTGGGCTGTGCAAACAGAGTGCCCCCTGGAGGAAGGAAGGGCACCCAGGTCCTGCAGAGCCTCTGCCGACTCGGGGCTGGCTGGGCGAGACCAAGCTTTCCTGCCCAGGCAGGGGCTTCAGCCATCTGGGGACGGCCCCTTGGGCCAGGCCTCCGAGGACCCGCAGGGCTACTGGGCCCCACCGTCAGGATTCAACTGGCTGCCCAGCTCACAGGCCCCGTGGTGGTGCCAGGCCCTCCCCGGGGAAGCAGGCTGGCTCGGCCTCTGACCTGGGCTCCTGGCCTCTGGGGCTTCCTTCCAGGCCTCCAGGCCGCGTGGCCCACCCGCCGCGGGCTCGTGCACTGGGTGGGGGGACGAGCAGCGGGAAGGTCTCTGCTGGCCGTGGTCCTGCCCTGATTGTGCCTTGTGTCCCGCTCGCTGGGGGTGCACCTCTCCCTCCAGCGGCCCGGGCAAGAGGTCACCTCTCCCCAGCCCACCTTTCCCGAGCCTTGTCCTGGCTTCCGGTCCAACACCTGCAGGGCAGCTTGAAGGCTCGCCAGCGCTCCCGGCACCAGCCACCCACACCCCGCACACCGCAGCCGCCTGGGCAGGCGCAGGCACAGGGGCAGGGGCTGGGCGTGGGAGGCCCCCCGTCGCGGCTTCTGCTTTGCCTTCCCGGCCTGGGCGCCTCGGGGGCCGGGGGTGCCCGGGGAGGGGTGGGGTGGGCTCAGCTGCGAGCCGTCCTTGCCCTGGCGCTTCCCCACCCGCTGCTGCTTCTCAGGCTCTGCCTCCTCTCTGGCTTGGCCACTTGTTACCACAACAGGCCACACCCGCTGGGGCTGGAGGGGTCCCGGGGCTGGCGGCAGTGCTAGGCATCCTCCGAGGCCCGGCCAGGCCACCCTGCCAGGCACGTCACCCGGGCCGGGTGTGCTGTGGCCCTGGTGCTCTCCTGCCTGACCCCGCCCCTCACGTCTGTGCGCCCTGGCCTGGGGCCAGGTGGGTGGTGCCCAGCTCGGAGCCGTGTGGAGGTCTGGCCTCCTGGGCCGCCTGCTGGGGCTGCGTCAGTAACTCTCTTTTCTCGCTTTGTTCCTGCTGTAGTAAAGCAATGTTCAGTAAAAGCCTGGATATCGCTGAAGCCCACCCCCAATTCAGCAAAGAAGACAGGTATACACCCTGCCCACCCATCCCCCGCCCCCCAGTCCCAAAGACAGCGGCGGGCCTGGTGGCAGGGCTGGGCCTGAGGTGCATCTGGCCCTCTCCTCTTTGGCAAGGGAACCTTCCAGCGAGCCGGGGAAGGGCCCGGGTCAGGCTAGACTGAGGCCCAGAATGAGGAGCGGGGCTGCTGGGACGAGGCCCATGGCCGGCCCCGAGAGGGGCCGGGAGACCCAGAGACTCTGCCTGCCCTGGGCCCCTGGGCTGCAGGCTGTGAGGTCCCTTCCGGCCGGCCCTTGCCCTGTGGTCAGTGGGCCTCCGTGGCCCTCGTTAAGCTCCCCTCCCCCAGCCCACGCTGGCCCATATCCCGCAAGGGCCAGAGTAGACGTGGCAGCCCCAGGCGGCTGCAGGCTCCTTAGGAAGGGGCAAGAGGTGTGCCGGTCCCAGGGGTCTCAGCACAGGGTCTGGCCTTCCAGAGCCCCAGCCCCGCCCCTGCAGGGCCTCCTGCCCGGTGGTGACAGTGGCGGGACCTCGCTCGCCCCCGGGCCCCCTCTGCCTCCCCCCGCACCTGCCTGCGCCTCGCCCGCTCTGCTCCGCGCCCTGGCTGCTCTCGTGCTGGCGCCGTCCTTCCTCAGTTCAGTTTCCAGGGACCGCCTGGTTAGACAGGAGGGCGTGCACGCGGCTCCCCTCTCTCTCCTGCTGCTGCTGCTCCGCTCTCCTTGTGCCCAGCAGCAAGCCCACGGCTGGCTTGTGGCTGCTGGGGTGGGCACCAGCTGCCACCGACCAGCCCTCCGGCCCCGTTCTTGGCATCGGGAAGCTTCCGGCCCGGCTCTGAGTGCAGTCCTGGACTTGGGCAGGCTGGGTCGGGGGTGCTGAGAGGAGGGTCAGCGCTGCCCCCCGGCTCCGGGGTGTGTCAGCTCGCGGGGTGGGAGTCGGAGGGTCATCGCCATGGGGCCCTGGCCCACAGGTGCTGGGGGACCGGCCAGCGTGGGCTCAGCTCCGGCCCGAGGCCCAGGGGCCAGCTGCGGTGTGGGCAGTGTGGCCGGGCTGGCGGGTGGGCGGTGTGGACGCCCTTCACTCTTTTCTGTCCTCTTCTCTCCCGTGGCTGCCTCGACCCCTCCGGCTTCCTTGCTCTAAGGATGGCAGGTGCCGGCGCCCAGGGGTGAGCGGGCGTTTCCTTTCCCCCGAGGCCACGCGGGGTGGTGGAGCGAGGCCCCGCAGGCCTGGCCCTGCCCCGAGAGGTGTCCAGTTCCTGCCCTGAGGGGGCGGCGGCTACATGCGTGTCTCCGCTGGGCACGCTGGGCCGGTGGCCTCTCTCTGGCCAGGCCCAGGCCAGGTCTGCAGGCCAGATGGGGCCGGGGTGGACCGAGTCCGCGTCCCTGCTGACGCCCGTCCCAGGTGTTCGTGGTGTGAGTGAGGGGAGGGCCGTGGCCTGGCGGGGCTGGGCTGGTGCCAGCTGGTGGCCCGAACGGCAGGGTGTGAGGCGCCGGCCGAGTGCAGGACTCGGGGCTGTGACAGCTCAGCCTTGGGGTTCAGCTGGGCTGCCTCAGGGCACCGGGGCTGGCATCGGCTCACGGGAAGCCCTGTGTCCTCTCACCCCGGGCCCGAGAGATCCTTGCCGAGGGCTCCTCCGTGCCATCCTGGAGCTGGGGCCTCGGGCCTTGGACACAGGGCACCTTCTGCGTGGGGGAAAAGGAGTCCCACGGTCTCCAGCTGCACCACTGGGGCTCTGATGGGGCCCCCAAGGGGCGGGGGGCTCTCCTGGTGAGAGGCGGGGTGGGGACAGCAGGACAGCCCCAGGCACGGCCAGGTGTGCTGCAGACCGGGGCAGCCTCGGGGCTCTCAACCAGGGCTCCAGGCCTCCTGGAGGGTCCACCTGAGGGGAGAGAGAAGCCGAGAGCCGGAGGCCCCTTCCTGGTCTGAGCCGCCCTCTGCACCTGTGTCCCCAGGTCTAGGTCCATCAGCGGCGCTTCCTCAGGCCTCTCCACCAGCCCACTCAGCAGCCCCCGGGTAAGTGAACCCGCCCCAGCTCCGCCGCCAGCGTGCGCCCGGGTGGGGGGCGGCTCGGTGGGCCCCCAACCCCGCCTGCTGCTGGGGCCGCCCGCGTGGTGGCAGCTGCTGCTCTGTGGGCTCCGGCTGCCTTCGCTAACTGCACGTTTTTTGTTTTGTTTTGTTTGTTTTCTCGTGTGTTCTTTTCTTTTGTGGCGAACGCTCCCCCCCCGGCCTGCCTGCCCCCGCTGGTCCTGCCTTGGGGTCCCCGGGTGCTGTGTGTGCATGCGGGGCGGGCGGGGCATGCGCTGGGGCCACTTGGCTCTCGGGGGCCCGTGCGCTCTCCCTCCCGCCCTCGGCGCTGCCCTGTAGCCTGTTAGAAAGTTTGTCTTGCCGCCCCCGCCCCCCGAGCTCCCCTTTGTGGCCTGCCCCCCGGCCACCTCCGTGGAGCCCGAAGCTGGCCGGAGCACCGCGCGGCCCGGACACGTCCTCCCTCCACAGGCCGCCCCGCGGCCCAACCCCAAGACCCAGACCTTGCCGAGCAAGGCCAAGCTGACCGACAAGCCGCTGCAGGGCACCAAGTCCAACCCGCTCCCGGCGGGCACCCAGGCCCGGCCCCTTGTTGCGGGAGGCCTCAGCCCCCAGCTGGCCCTGACCCCGGGCTCACCCACCCTGCCGGCCCCTGCCCGGCTCCCCCCCACCGGGACTGAAGCCAACACCAAATCTGTCCCCACCATACAGGTGACCCCTCACCCCTCTCCGAGGGGCAGTCCCCTCCCTACCCCCAAGGGGACGCCTGTGCACACGCCCAAGGAGAGCCCGGCCGGCACGCCCAACCCCACGCCACCGTCCAGCCCCAGCGTGGGAGGGGTGCCCTGGAGGACACGGCTCAACTCCATCAAGAACAGCTTCCTGGGGTCACCCCGCTTCCACCGCCGGAAACTGCAAGGTGAGTGTGGCGGGACACGCGGGGTGGGCGGGGCTCGGGGGGGCTGGTGGCGGGGGCCCCGAGGAGCACTGCCCGTCCTGGCGAGCGGGGCAGGCAGGGGCCGGCTTCAGAGGGTCTTACCCTCCCCCTCCTGAAGGCGCTGGCGAGAGGTACCCCCAGTGTCCACGTGTCCCCAAGCCTGCCCACTGTGTGTCAAGGACCCCACAGTGCAGGGATGCCTGCCCGGCGGGTGCGGCCTTGGGACTCCTCCTGCCTCCATTGTTACCCCTTGGCCCAGTGGCCTGTTCAGGCCGGGCTGCCTGAGCCCCACAGAGGAGAGCAGGCCAGTGGGCGGGCATGGGTGGGTGTGGTGAGGAAGCCCACGGGGCTGGGGCAGTGATAGGCAGCCTGCCCCTGTGTGCTGGGTTTCGAGGGTCAACTGGTACCTCCAGGCCACCAGGCCCCACCAGCCACCCTGCACGGTCGACGGGCGGTACCATCTATCCCGGGACAGCAGGGCTGGTTGGGGGCCAGAGGCGGTGAGGCCCGGTTTCAGCACCAGAAGGCAGGACAGCTCCCTGTGGCCCGAGGCTCTTGCGGCCGCGGCGGGCAGGAGCCGGGAGCTGACCTGTGCCTGTGGGCGCTGGAGACAGTGCCGTGGCTCCCGAGACCCCACCCGCGGCGCAGGTGCCCTGGTGGGGGAAGGGTGGAGTGGTCACCACACTCTCCCCGTCCTTCCCGTGTGCAGTTCCGACGCCCGAGGAGATGTCCAACCTGACCCCGGAGTCGTCCCCAGAGTAAGTGGCCCTGCCCGAGGTCAAGTGTGACCTGTCGCCGCCTTCTTAGTGTATGGGGGTCTGTGACGGACCCTCCCGTGTGTCAGGCCGGGGGATCCACTGAGGGCTTTGGGGCCCCTCAGCGCTGGGGTCTCTGTGTCTCCACCTCGAATGCCAGGCCAGGGGTCAGGGCCTGGGCGGTGAGGGAGCTGCTCTTCCCAGATGTGCTCAGAAGCCACAGCCTGGGGGTGGCAGGGGAGAGCACAGCCACGCCTCAGGGTGAGTGTCCACACCTGCTGAGAGCCCCGGCCTCCACATGGGGGAGCGTGTCGGCCCCCAGCCCTTGGTGACCAGGGGTGCGGTGCCTGCGGGGGGGCCTCCACCAGGGAGGGGCGCTGGGCAGTGCTGACTGGGGCTTCCCAGGGTGAGCCCAGCCCGGAGTGTGGCCGGACACCTGGCGGCTCGTAGGGATGGAGGGTCTCAGGGAGGAGGTGAGGAGGGGCGGCCGGCGGGAACCGTGTTCAGGGCAGGGTGGCCTTGGCCAAGGTCAGGACACATCGAGCCCCCGGCTCACCGTCCTGCAAGGGCAGGAAGCAGGGCCTTGAGGCGGCAGCGGGGCAGTGCTGCGGCCCAGCCAGATGTCTGGGCGGGAGTCCCGTGTGTCTGGGGTGAAGACCCCAGAGAGGCGCCAGCCTTCGCTCCCCACCACCTCGTGTGAACGTGAAGTGCGGAGTGGACACAGGGCAGCGCCCTGTCGTGACCTCACCGGCAGCCTTCGGCCCGGCAGGAGAAGCTGCCGTTACCCTGTCGCCGTGACCCCGCATGGGGCCTGTGGACACAGCAGGAGCGGGCGGGGGTGCAGCTGAAGGGCAGCCAGCCTGAAGTGTGGGGTTTCGGGATCTCCGTGATCCCACCGTTTGTCTCCCTTCGGTCACGGTTTCCTGTTGTCATCAGAAGCTCTCGCGACCACGTTTGTAACAGAATGGTTAGGTTTATCAGAAAACTCAAAAAAAAAAGCCACCCAGAGCAGCTGACACCACCGTGCAGGTGGCCTGCAGCCTCCCCTGCCCATTCTCGAGTCCTGGAGGCCTCGTCCCCCTCCTGAGGGCCCCGGCCAGCGTCGCCACCCGGTGCATGTGGCTGACGGGAAGGAGCAGACGGGTGGCCCTGGGGGGCCGCTGCACCCCCAGCACCCACTCCTCCCAAGGACGTGTTTGCCCGCCCTGAGACGTCCCCTCCACCAGCGGCCAGCAGCCTCGTGTCAGTGGAGCGTGTGCGTCCGCGTGTTCCAGAACCGGCCCGTGGGGCTGGCGAGCCTGGGGACTGTAGGCTTCGCAGGCGGGAATCAGGGCGGCTTCTCCGTCTCAGTGCTGAGAATCGCTTCCCCTCCAGGAGCCTCAGCCTTTGCTCTCAGGACCTTCCAAGGCCCGCCACGTCCAGAGTCTGCTCGTCACCACGTCTCAAAGTTGCTCTCAAGAAGCACACCCAACCTTTACCAAATGGGCCCAGTTGACGCCCATTAACTGTCACAGGCCTTCCCGGCTCATCCAGGCTGCTTGCGAACCAGACACCAAAGTACAACACGGAGCCTTTCTGTTGCTCTGTTTCTTCATCGAGGGAGGAGGGGCAGAAGCGCTCGCCGCGGGCTTCAGAGCTGCCTCCCGGCCCACGTCCTGGGCTCAGGCCCCAGTGCGGTGCTGGGGTGAGCAGCGCGGGTGGCCTGCACCCCAGAGCTCTGAGCACGCCAGCAGCCACAGAGACGGCAGGATGTGGGGAAGGAGGCGAAGGTGGCCAAGTACGGCGTGGCGTCGGGAAGGATGTGTGTCCCCGCGGCTCTGCCTCCGTCAGGTCTCGGGCCGGCTCCAGCCGCAGGAGCGGACGGCCTCTGTTGGCAAGCTGCCTGCTGCCGCCACATCGCCACGGGCTGGAGAGCAGGCTCTGGAAACGGGCAGGAAAAGGGAAGGTGCACGGCAGGAAACAGCAGCCGCGCCTCAGACCCCGCGGCTCACGCTGCCAGCACCGCCGGGGCAAGACACCGGGCCCGAGCGGGCCGGCCCTGGCCCCCGCCCAGCCTGAGTTGGGCGCGTCTGCCAGCGGGGCCCTCACCGTCTCCGCACTACAGCTGCCTGGGCGAGAGTGACAGTCAGCAGTCGCTCCCAACGGCACGTGGCTTGGGGTCAGGCCCCGTGCACGGCCCGGCCGGGCCCTGCTTCAGGGTGTTGGCCAGCGGTGTTCGTCTCAAGGCCCAGCTGGGGCAGAATCCTCCGCCGGGCTCGTGGGGTCACGGGCAGGATTCAGGTTCCTGGCCACGTGGGCCTCGCTGTCACATCCGTCCGTCCCCGCCGCGTCCGTCGGCTTCGTCAAAAAGAGGTGGAGACCCGCTCGCCAGACGGAAGTCCAGCCTTTTAGAGACTGAGGTCGCACGCGACCCCCGTCACCTTCCCCCACTCCCCGTTCTCATGGTCAGGAGCAAGTCCCGGGCCTCGTCCACACGAGGGAGGGGCCCGCACAGGCTGAACCCCGGAGGCAGGATGGTGGGGCCGGCAAGGGGTCTCCCCCACACTGGTGTGCGCCGTAGGGCAGGGCCCCGCCGCAGAGAAGGGGGGCCCCAGAAGCAGGGCAGAGTGACGAGACCGGAGCATGATGGCGTAGAGGGCAGGGAGGCGTACACGTGATGCCCGTGAGATGAGGGGTCTCGTGCGGGAGGGCACTGCCGGCCTCGGGACCCCTGGGGTGGGCCCTGCCCTGCCCCGTACAGCGGCTGGGCCCCCAGGGGTCGAAGCGACCACTGTGTTACAGAGTGACCTGGGCTGGGGCAGCGGGGCTGCAGATGGCCAGGGGGCTACCAGTCCCCAAGGACAGAGGGTGGTCCGCCACGGGGAGGGGCAGGTAGCACCCGGGGCCCCCAGCCCCGGCCCTCTGCACCATGTCACCCCTGTACATACCTGTGCAGGGGTCCCTGGCCTGCCCCCCGCCCCCAACCCCTGCCCCCCACATAGCCCCGGGCGGGGCACTTTTCTCCAGGAAGCTGCAGGGTTGCGGCTTAGCGAGTTACCCCGAAACATGGTGTCTTCAACAGAGAGGAGCAAGGGTGGGGGTCAGGGTGGGCTCAAGGACAGGACACCCTACCCCCACCCTCCTTTCTTTCCTGGTGGGGTTCCGGTGGGCGCAGCCCAGGCCCGAGCAGGCAGGGGTGGTTGGGGTGAGGTGCGAGGCCGAGGGCTCTGCGACTAGCATCAGGGCTGTCGGGTGAGGGGCAGGGCAGGGCGGAGGGTGGTCAGGGTCAGGATGGCGGGTCAGGGCGGGGAGTTGGGGCCAGGGCAGGGTCTGGCTGGGACAGCAAGCTGGCCTGCAGCCCAGAGGGGGGGCTCGGGGCTCAGCCGGCGTACCCTGACCTGCCCAGCCCTCCGCCCCGCCCCCAGGCTCGCCAAAAGGTCCTGGTTCGGGAACTTCATCAGCCTGGAGAAGGAGGAACAGGTCTTCGCGGTCATCAAGGACAAGCCGCTGAGCTCCATCAAAGCCGACATCGTCCACGCCTTCCTGTCGGTGAGCCTTGCGCCGCGCAGCCACTGCCCCTGGGGCCCCGCCTGGGCAGGGCCAGGGCAGCAGGCACGCTGTGGCCGGGAGACGGGCTGTGCACAGGCCCGGGGTGGGGCGGGCCTCGGGGGGGCACCTCGCTGAGACGGGGGTGAAGCGTGGGCGGCTGCGAGGCAGCTTTGAGGAGGGAACTTGAGGCCTCGACACGGGGCGGGGGGGGCTCTGCTGGGTCTGGTGGATGCGCCTACGGCCCCAAGAACGGTCCTGGAGGGCTGGCTCCGTGTCCTGTGTGCCCCTGCCCACTCCCATGTGCTGCCGGCCTCCTGCAGTCCCTCGCCTCCCACTGGTGGCTTTTGAGGTGGGCTGTGCTTGGGCCTTGGGTGGGTTTCCGTCTGTCTTTGCTGGGATTTTTGGGCGCGTGGGGCAGAAAGCCCTGGAGAGTGTCTTCCACAGTCACTCGTGTCAGGAGGCCTCACCCGCCCTGCCCTGCGTGGGGCCTGCCTTGTGCCGGGCCCCCCGGGATCACAGGTTAGGGGTCCCTCGGCATGCCCACAGCCCAAGCCCGGGACCCCGCCTTGGTATGGGCGGGACCTGCCGGGGTGGCCACCCTGCCTCTCTGGGCGCAGCGAAGTTTCCCTTAGGGCTTGGGGGCCAGCTTGGCACTCCTCCCAGAGGTCTCCAGGAACGGGAGAGCTCAGCACCAGGTGGGGACTTCGGCCTTGTGCCGGGTGTGGGCACCCTGGCCCTGCTGAGTCCCCCCAACCCCGCCACTGCAGCCTCTTCTCCTCCGGGCCCCGGGTCTGGGCCTTCCCTGGAGCCCCCCAGGCCTCTCCTGGGACACCAAGATTTCCCCCGTGATGTGAACTCCGCCCCTTCTAACCGGCGAGCCAGCACTGTGCTCTCCCAAGCAACAGAGCCCTGTCCTGGGGGCGACCCCTCTGAGGCAAGACCGCCTCCTGGGTTTGTTTTGCCGGACATTTCCCTGGCCGCTGCGCAGCCCAGTCACGCAGAGGCCCCTCGCCTGCGCCCAGGGCCGCAGACCCCGGAGCCAGCAGAGCGGCGGGCGCTGTTGTCAGCGGTGCCGGGGGCTCTGTCTCAATACGGGGCATGGGCTCTAGCCCCAGGCTTTGCTGCCGCTTGCGGGGCCTCCCCGCCCGCCCCTCAGAGCCCTGCTCTCTGCTGCCGTGTCACGATCCATCTGCGACCCGTGCGCAGCTCCGTCTCGCTGAGGCTCCTGGGGAGCCAGTGCTGCTGGGGCCTCGGGCGGCGGCCGGCTCCCTGCCCTCTGGGGGTTCCTCGCTCACGCCACCCCCTGCCCGCAGATCCCCAGCCTCAGCCACAGCGTCATCTCCCAGACGAGCTTCCGGGCCGAGCACAAGGCGACGGGGGGCCCGGCGGTGTTCCAGAAGCCCGTCAAGTTCCAGGTGGACATCACCTACACCGAGGGCGGGGCGGCGCAGAAGGAGAACGGCGTCTACTCCGTCACGTTCACGCTCCTGTCAGGTGAGCTGCTGGCAGAGGCCGAGGGCGGGGCTCCCGGGGGCGGGGCTCCGGGCCAGCCCTGCCCCCGCCTCACCCACCCCCCACCTCCCCCAGGCCCCAGCCGCCGCTTCAAGAGGGTCGTGGAGACCATTCAGACCCAGCTGCTGAGCACACATGAGCAGCCTTCTGCCCAGCACTTGTCAGGTGAGGGGGGGGCTCAGCTTGGGCTGCCCTGAGGGCTGGCGATGGGGTGTGGCCCCTCCGCGTGCACCCCCGGGAGCAGGGCCCTCCCGGCACAGTGGCCGGCCGTCTCTGCACACCAGGGGGGTAGGCCCAGCACGCCACACTGAAAGGCGCCTCTTGTCCACTGTAGACCCCCCCCCGCCAGCTCCGGGACTAAGCTGGGGTGCTGGGCTTAAGGGCCAGAAGGTGGCCACCAGCTACGAGAGTAGCCTCTGACGCTGGCAGGTAAGGTGTCCAGCCCCGCCGCTGGGGCAGGGAGGGGCTGCGGGCAGGTCCTCTGCGAGAGCCAGACTGGCCCCGAGGAGGCACCCTGTGCCCACCCGTGTGTCCAGCGGCCACCTCCCGGCCCTGGACAGGCCCCGCAGGCCCAGCACCCAGCCGAACGGCTGGACACAGGGGCAGCCCGGCCCCAGGCCAGCGAGAGCAGGCTCCGGCAGAGCAGTGACCAAGGTGCTGCCGGGAGCCCTGCCGCCCTCAAGGGTCCCCCACGTAGCACCCTCCAGGGCTGTGGGCCTGGTGCCCACACTGGCTGGCAGGACACGGGGGCCCTGAGGTCCAGTCAAAGCAGGGGCTCCCCAGCTGGGCCTAGAGGGGGCCACACAGGAATGGGGCTGCCCAGGCCTGCAGGCGCCAGGGGCCCGGGAGCCTGAGGGTCTGTGCCGCTCGGCACCTGGCGGGCAGTGGCTGCAGCCCTGTGGGTGCGGGTGAGCCCCGGGGGCACGTGCATGAGCTGTTAGGGAGGGCGAGCGGCGCGCGTGCGCTCAGCGGGAGCTGGCAGCTCACCACGAGGCCTGTGTCGGGGTGTGGGGTCTGGGGAGCACAGGGTCCAGCCCAGCCCCACCTCTCAGAGCCCCCTGTGGCCAGCCGTCTGTGCTTCTGTGTAGGGTCCTAGAGGCCAGGCCTGCCCCACTGTCCACCCGCCCCTGCCATCCTCATTCCATCGTCTGTGTTTCACCTGCCCCCCTTTTCTCCCCCCAGCGTGTGCCTCACTGCCCTATTGGTGGGTTGGGGCTGGAGGAGCCCCGACACCCTGGCCCTGGGAGCCAGGCTGGCCCGGGGGCCGGTGCCTTTAAGGCTTCCACGTCGGAGCAGAGCAGTGCTCAGAGGGGGAAACCGAGGCTGGGGAAGGACAGAGCTTGTTCAGGGAGGCAAGCAAGGGGCCTGGTGTGCCGCCCAGGGGACAGCCGTGCCTGCACCCACCCCGCCCAGCGCCACGGTCCCTCTTTGCTCCTGGCCAGGCAGAGTCCCACCATAAGGGATACCATTCTGTCTGTCGGCGAATGTGCCCTGCTCTAGGTCCCAGGCCCAGCAGTGAGCAGGGCGGACACGGCCCTTCTGCAGGGCCCCGTCCCCGTTTTAGCCCTGGGCCCAAGCCCACGTCCCTGGAGACTGTTGGGTGCCTGCCCTGGGCCAAGCCCATCTCCCCTGCCTTCCTCCAGGGAGCCCTGGGCCTGGGGAGCCCACTCCGGGACCCCAGCCCATCCCTTGGCCCCGTCCCCAGGCCTCCCCGAGGGGTCAGCCTTTCCCAACACCCTCCCCCCATACTGGACACTCTTGCCCAGCAAGCTCAGTCCTAGAGCCACTGGAGGAGGGAGCAGAAGCGGGGGCCCCTCGGGCACCAGGCCAAGAGATCTGGTGGTCACTCCAGTAGGGCCCCCACCCAGCCCAGGGAGGGGAGGCCCCAGTGAGGGCCGCGAGGCAGCCGCCCTCCACCCCAGGCTCTGCTGCCTTCCCTACCCCCAGCCCTAACACGGCCAAGCCCAGCAGAGAGCGGGAGAGGGTGTGCCACCGTGAGTCGAGGGGCGAATGGGAGCCTGCGGCCACGTGAGCCACAGAGAGCCAGGGTGAGGACACGGAGGTGGCAGCGTAGACCGCAGCCGGGGACCTGGCCCTCTCGGCTCCGAGGCGTGTGTCCTGGGCCCAGAGGGCAGAAGGGAGGGCGGGCCAGGCAGGACGCTCCACTGCCCAGGAGAGGGGCCCCACTCCAGGCTGGCCCTCTGCTGAGCCCCTCCTCTCTGAGCCGCCCACTCCAGGCTCTACCCACCTGAGCCCCACCCCTTGGCCACAGCCCCGCAACCCCACTCCAGGCTCCGCCCCCTCCCCCAGGGCCTGGCCGAGGCTGCAGGCAGCACCGGCTTGAGGTCTGAGCCGGAAGCCTTTTTCACACGTCTCCCTCCCCCTCTCTCCGTTCTGTGCTCCAGACACCACTAACTGTATGGAAATGATGACGGGGAGGCTTTCCAAATGTGGTAAGAACCCCTCACGCTCACCTGGGCCCCCCAGCCTGTCCCCCCCACCGCTCACCCTGCACCCCCTGCAGCCTGCTCCTGGCTGGGTGCTGCCCCGCCACCCCCCGGGGCTGTCCTGGGATCCCTGTGTACACGAGGGGCCCGGACATGCGCACGTGGCCTCGCTGGCCCCCACGGCGCCCAGCCGTGCCCAGCCCCCCAGCCCCTGCCACAGGCAGCCTCGGTCACCCTCCAGGGCGGGCACAGGCCCGGCCCTAGGATCAGGGCAGGCCACGGAGGGACCCCAAGGCTCAGCAGGAAAGGGTGCCCAAGCCCCAAGGCCAGCAAGGGTCCCACGTCTGGGCCCTGGCCGGGGGTCAGGGTGGCCCCTAGGCCTTGGGCCGGAGGCTGGCGTCATGCCCTCTCTGCCCACTGGAGGGGGGCGGGGAGCGGCTCCTGCCCAGGCCCTGAGCTGCCTGGCCGCAGGTGCGCCGGCCGCTCGCCCTGCCGCAGCTGGCGGGGAGAGGGCCCTGCCCGCTCCTGCTCAGGTGGGGGCCAGGTTTAGGAGGTAGAACTGAGGTGACCCCAGTCGCGCACCTGGACCGTGAGCACAGGCCCCCGGGTGGGGCGGGGCCCCGCTTCTGCCCCGCCCTTCTTGCCCTCCAGACATGCCCTCTGGGACCAGGGCCCCCACTGTGGCTGCCTGCCCAGCCCCCCTACACCCCAGCTCCATGCCTGTCCACCCACCCATCCGTCCGTCTGTCCACTGCTGACCTCTGTGTCCACGCTGTGCCACCCGGGCTGGCTGGGGGCCGGGCTCCAGGCCTCCTGGGAGGAGTGTGGCAGGCCTGCTGGCTCCAGCCTCCCCGGCCGCCAGCCCCAGGGTCCTGCTCGGCCCCGGCCTTTACGCGTCTGTCTCCAGAGCTGGGCCGGCCCGCTGGCCAGGCTGCGGGGCTGACGGAGGCCGAGGCTTAGGTGGAGGGAGGGCCGGTCCTTTGGGAGGCCTGGCGAGGGAGGAAGGTGCCCACTGGCCCCAGCTTCCGCCCCGCAGCCCAGAGGCCTCGAGCCCCCACCGGCCGCCTGCCCTGCTTGCTGCCGCGGCCCCGCTCACCCGCTCGGACCCCCTCACGGGCCTTTCGTTCATTCGTCTGTTGTTCTCTCTCTTCCTTCCCTCCCTCCTTTTCTCTCTTTTCTTTTTTTCTTTTGTCTTCTGTTCTGTGCACCCAGGCAGCCCATTGAGTAACTTCCTTGACGTAATTAAACAACTTTTTTCAGACGAGAAGAACGGGCAGGCGGCCCAGGCCCCCAGCACGCCCGCCAAGCGGAGTGCCCACGGCCCACTCGGGGACTCCGCGGCCGCTGGCCCCGGCCCTGGAGGGGACGCCGAGTACCCAGCGGGCAAGGACACGGCCAGGACGGGGCCGCCCGCCGCCCGCCGAGAGCAGCCTTAGACACATAGCCCCCTCCCCCTGCACGGCCCCGACAGTGGCCCCCAGGCCGCCTCGCCGCCCGCTCGCCCGCCCGCCGCCCGCCCGGTGTGGACCCGGGGCTGCGCCCGTCTGTCCGTCTAGACTGTTGTGAAGCCGGGGAGGAAAGGAAAGGGGGCACCGGGGGCCACAGCCGCGGCTGGGCCACCCGCGCCCGCTCTCTCTTTCTCTCGCTGTCTCTCTCCCTGCCTGTCTCTGACAACGCCACTGTTTCCGCTCTGATACCAGGAATTATCCCGAAAAGTTAACATGTCATCTCCACGAGGCCGTCCTCCGTGCTCTGCACCGGATACCGGCTGACCGAAGGCAGCTGCCGTGGACCTGCCCTCTCTCCTCTCCTGCTGCTGCCGCCCACTGGGCAGTGAGGCCCTGCCCGCCCGCCAGCTCTGCCCAGTTTCAGCTCCGCATGGCCACGGGGAGGAGGACCCGGCCCCGACGGGAGGCCGCCTCGGGCCCACCCGACTGGACGCGCGGTGACCAGTGCCCCCGGCGGGTCCGGCCAGCCTCCGGGGCAGGCCCAAGGGGGTGAAGCAGCCGTCTGGCCCGGCCGGCACGGCCTCTCCTCAGCACGTCCCCTCCCTGCTGCTCCCTCCTCGTCCACGTCCAGGCACCTCAGCGCCGCCCACCTGCCTCGCCGCATCCCACCCCCCAGCTCCCCGGGGGCTGCAGGTGGAAAGAAACCCCGGGGGCCCCGCAGCACCTGCCCACCTGCCCACCCGCCCGCCCGAGGGCAGGCCGAGATCAGTATTATTTACTTGCTGTTTTAACTTATTGAGTTTCTTTACTTCTCCGTTCAGGGAAGGGGCAGCAGCAGCGCCGTCCTGCCGTCTGTCTGTGTGTGTGTCTTGGGCAGGGTGGGGTCTGGGCCAAGGTGCCCCGTGGACAGAGCGGTCGGGGTGCCGGGGCCGCGGGGGCAGCCGGCCGATGCAGCGCCGGCAAGCTACTGTAAACTTTAAAGAATTCCTGCAAGATATTTTTATAAACTTTTTTTCTTGGTTGTTTTTGGAGAAGGGTGTTGGCGGGGGGGACCACGGGGCAGGGCTAGGCTTTGAGTCCGGTTCTGACTATACACATGCATATAAATGCATTTAGAGAACGGCACGGTTCGCTCCGTCCCCGGTTCTGTGCCGTTATCGTGGAGAAGCGACTCCAGTCCTATGGGGGCCGGGCACGGCCAGGGCCCCTCTGCCAGGCCCGGGCTGGGGGCCATCTTGGTTTTGTGTCCGAGTGCGGGGCGGGAGGAAGGCCCGAGCCGGCCGCCTATACACCACATGCGAGATGGCAGGGCCACTGCAGGGTTTTTTTTTTTTTTACTAAAATGACAAAAAAAGTTAAAAACAAAACAAAACAAAAAGCAACAAAGGACAGAGAGAACGGTAGCGGCGTCCTCGGCTGCGTGCTCTCTGTTCCCGGAGGGGCCGTGAGGCACGTGTGGCTGCGCCCTCGCTGGGGCAAGTCCACTTCGCATCTGGCGTCTCTCCTGCCCGCCCTGCTGCCTCTCCCGTCGTGCATAGATTTTAATGCTTCTGTTCCATTGACCCCCTACCACAGGCTGGGATTTCAATACATAACAAAAAATGAAACACCTCTAACAGCAAAAGCCGCGGCACAAGCGGAGGTCCAGAAAGCAATACCTCTCGTTAGCCTTCCTCTTTTGTACTCGGGACACACACAGACGTCACGGAAACGGACAAGCCCCACCCCGTGTATCCCCTGTCAAGTAACTGTGAGCAACGTTAGTTCCGAACAATAAATTCCTTCAGCAAAGACACCCACGCCGGTCTCCATGCGGGCGGGCGGGCGGGCAGGCGGGCGGGCAGGGATGTGGGACCACCTGGGACCGCCCCTGCCAGGTGTGCGTGTGCTACTTCCGCCCCAGCCAGAGGACGGGCCCTGTGCCGCGGGTCTGCGCGGGCATCACACGGGCTGGGCCAGGTGGGAAGCAGCACAGGGAAGCACCACCAGAGGCTGACACGGAGCTCTGCTGGGGATGGGGTGCCTGGCGAGTACGGCCCCCTGCCCGGCCACTGCAGCTCTGCTGCCACCCCGAGACCTCAGCCCGAGACCAGCACCTGGGCTTCTTCCTGGAGGATGAACCTTCTTTCCACTCCTTCCATGGGAAGAGGCAGATGGGGAGCGTGGCCCAGCCCTGCAAGTGATGAGCCAAGGCTGGCGGGCAGGCCCTGGAGACGACGGCTGGCAGGGCAGTGTGGTCCCAGCCGTGCCCACCATGCCCGCCAGCCAGGGACGGAGGCACCATGACCACGCACCAGGGAGCCACCCCCTCTGCCGCTGCGGCGTGAAGGACAGGTGCAGCCTCCCGAGTGCCACGGACCACCCAGCCGCACGTCTCGAGGGCAGCACCTGGCAGTCACCACGCAGCCCTGAGGAGGGACGAGCAGCAGCCCGACGGGGGGTCCCGGCAGAGACCACAACGCTCTCGGAAGCCTCCCCCAGCCTCTCACGTGTGGAGGGGGTCAGGTGTGGCCTGGCCACTCTGCACCCAGCCGTCTACACCACCGCAGCACTACCGACCTTGGGGCTGCGTGGTTCTCTGTGGTGGGGACCGTCCTGCCCGTGGCAGAATGTCAGCGTCATCCGTGGCCTCTACCTACTAGATGCCGGTAGCAGCCTCCCAGCCCCACGTGACAAACTGTTTCCAACCTTGCCATCCATCCCTGAGGGTGGACAGATCAGCCCTAAAGAGTTCGCGCTCTTGCCTCCTACACCCCCTCGCTGGAGAGCGCCAGGAGCGTGCCACGCTTCACTGGCTTAGTTGTGAGCTCGGGAGCTCTGCTGGAAGGACACGAAAGAGGGTCTGCTGACGTGGAGCTGCGGCCCTCTTTTGCCCAGCCCCTTTGAGGGAGGCCTCAGAAGGTACTCTGGGGCCAGGTCCTGTTGCTGTCTCTGGGCTGCATGGTGTCCCATTAACTTTAGCTTAAAAGCCAAGTTGGAGGAGGAGGTTTGGTTGCTACGTCTCGCCAGGGAACGTGGTTATGTGGCTCCTGGCCAAGCCACCAGGGTTCCCTGACCTGTGCTTCTGCAGGTGCTTTACTGAGAGAGCCGCTGACACACACAGGCCTCCTCTTCTCCCACTTGGCCCTCTCAACGTTTGCAGTCTGATGTGTCAGCCTTAGCGGGCACACGATGGAGTCCCCAGAAGGAAATACCACAGAACACCCAGCAGACGGCCAGCTTTCCGTATGCCCACCACCGCACTCCTTTAGCGGGAAGGGGCCGCTTCCCTGCGATCCCACTTCTGAACCAAAGCAGGCTCAAAAACTGTTAGTGTCACATATTTACTAAAATAGAAAATAAAACCCAACACACGAGGACTCACTACGTGCCAGATACCTCTGAGCACTTCACGCTGAGCATTAAGCCGAATGGTCCTCACGCCATTTTCTATGAAGTAGAAACGTAAATGGGTCCTTGTGAAAAACAAAAAGGGTATGTGGTGGGTCCAGCAGCTGGTGAGAGGATGACTTCTCAGGCCCCACTCTCAGGTAGCCAGCCCGACTGGCCTGGGAGCTGGGCTCCTGGTGAACAAACAACGTGGTGTGCTCGCCAAAGCAATCACGGATGGGGGTGGGGGAGACAGTCTGACCCGTGTCCCCACAGGGGCTCTGAGTGCTCCCGGGCAGCAGAGGCAGAGTGGGCGGGGGCACACACGAGGGAGGGGATGTGTGAGCAGCGGCCCAGCCTCATTCTGCTCTGCCAGGAGCCCGCCCTAGACTCTGTCCATGCTCTCAGTGGACAGGTGGGGCAGGGGCCCCAGGCTCCTCGGCCGTGAGATGGAGCGATTCCTGGCGTCACGAGGCTGCTCCAGGGAGCGCGCTGCTGGAGGTGGGCTGGCCTCATCCTGCCCTCCCCTCTCCCCGGGCTTCAGTGCCCACTCCTCCTGCCCTCACCCCCGGCCACCAAGTCCACTCCACTCCCCCGTCACACTTCGCCTTTCCTGGGCCCCCGCCGCTCCCCACCACCAGCCCAGGTCCTCGGTGTGACTCAGAGAGGGGTGGGGCTTCTGGCACGGAGCAGACAGTGGCTGCGACCAGGAGGAGAGAAAACCTGTGTGAGCTCCAGGCAGGGACGGACGTCTGCGGAGGAGGAGGGCAGCAGAGACGGACACACACGAGGGAGGGGAGCCAAGTGCCGGCCTCGGGGCCTCAGGTGGGATTGCGGGGTCTATGCTGTTAGTCACAAGCCCAAGCACTGCCGTCTGTCACACTCATCCTTGGAGTCAGGCCCTGGGTGAAGTGGATCATCTCTGTGGGCCCTCAGAATGACCCTGTGAGAGTTCCATGGCCCGGCTCACAGATGTATGAGTCTCCTACTGCTGCTGTAACAAGTTACCAAAAACCAAGTGGCTTAAAACCACACAAATGTGCCATCTTAAGATCTGGACGCCGAGAACTGGGTCTCACTGGCTACAATCAAGGTGCTGGCAGGGCTGCGTTCCTTCTGGAGGCCCTGGGGAAATCCATTTCCTTGTCTTTTCCAGCTTCTTGAGGCCGCCTGCACCCCTGGCTCGCAGCCCCTTCCTCGGTCTTCAAAGCCAGCAACATCAGATGAGCCCTTCTCACCCTGCCATCTCTCTGCTTCTCCCTCTTCTGCCCCCTCCCAGTTTTGAGGAATCTTGTGATTACACTGGGCCCAGATAATCTCTCCATCTCAAGTTCAGCTCATTAGCAACCTTACTTCCACCTGCAGCTTTACTCCCCCTTCGCTATGGAAGGTAACATGTTGAGTTTCCAGGCATTAGGCTGTGGACTCTCTTTCTTTTGGCGGGGGGAGGTGCGCATTATTCTGCTTACCGCAGACTGCCCTCTAGCAAGTCCCACATCTACCTCACGTGTAAAACACCCCCCGTTCCTGAGGTCTCCGGAAGTCTCAACCCATTATGGTTTCAAGTCAAACCCCAAATCTCATCTAAATCATCTGAATCAGGTAAAAGTGAAACTTCGAGTATGATCCACCCTAGCACAAAATTCCTTTCCATGTTGAGCCTGTGGACCTAGGAAAGTTATCTACTTCAAAACTACGATGGTAGAACAGGCAGAAGATGCCAGGTGCAGGGTCGGGGGACAGGGCCCCACAGAAGCCCCTCACCTCTGCCCACAGGGGGCTGGACAAGCTCCAGGGTTGTTCGTGCCACGGCCACCCTGCCCAGCCTGCGCTGCAGCACACACCCCTCTCTCGAGCTCTCCCTATGCCCACCCCTCAGGCAGTGCTGCCCTGTCCAGAGGTGGTCCCTGCAGCAGAGCCCCTGGGACGGGCGGGCTGCCTGGGAAGCACCCCCAGCCGACTCCAGCCCACCCTCTAAGGTCCCTGCCGCCTGCGTGGAGAGGGCACAGCACAGGGAGTGAGTGGTCAAGGGCCCCTGGAGACTCGAGACACAAAGCACAGCCCCCGTCCCCCGCAGACACGTTCAGCAGGGGGGCCTGTGGTCGGCCCCTGCAAGAAGGGTGGCACCTGCCCCTGGCCAGCACAGCCTTGGTCAGCGAGAGGGCTCCACCGCCCGGGCTGCAGGGGAGGGCGCTGCCCCAGGGGCGCAGAGGGGCGGGGGAGGGCAGAGGAGAGGGGTGTGTGGCCAGACCAGAGGGCACCGAGACGCTGAGGACACACGCAGGCGCTGACCTGAGAGAAGTCTTTTTATTACACCCGCACAGGGAAGCCAGGCTCTCCCCCTGCCCCCGACCGCGTCTCCGCACAAGCCGCCCGCCAGGGCACCGGGATCCGAGCTGGGCAGCCCAGGGGGCCCCTCCTGGGCAGCGGGGGCAGCGCAGGGAGACAGGGCCGCAGTTCGGTGCTCTGCGGCCTCCCCCTCCCCACCCGCCCTGAGCCACCAACAGCCGAGGTCCAGACCAAGCGGGAGAGAGGAGGAGAAGGCCACCCCCAGCCCTAACCAAGACGAAACACGGTGGAAGCGAAGTCTGCGGTCCCCACCTCGGGGGAAGGAGCCCCGCCTGTCGCGTGTCTCCCCGGAGGCCGAGCCAGGTGGCGGGGCAGGCGCAGAAGACCGGGAGAGACGGACCCACAGAAGGGGACTTGGACGGGGGCGGTCCCTAAGTGTCTGCTGAGCAGATGAGCGGAGTCCCAAAGTTCTCGGTGCCGGCGGCACAGAGCGCCCGCGCCCACACTCCGCGCGCCGCCTCTCCGCACTCGGGCGGCCGGGCTCACCTCTCCTTCACGTGGTTCTGTGCGCCCGCCGCCCCGCCCGCCCCGTCCCCGCCCCCGCGGCCCCCGCCGCCGCCGCCGCCGCACAGCACCTCCGTCAGGTCGTCCATGACCGCCGTCTCTTTGGGGTCGAGCAGGTTGAACTCGCGGGCAAAGAGGATGAAATGCACGTAGAGCGTGTTCAAGTGTCCGTGCAGCTCGAGCGCCAGGGTCTCCTTGAAGTGCGACGAGTAGATGTGCGCCAGCACGTGGAACAGGTACTTGCAGATCTTCTTCACCAGGGACTCGAAGGAGCTGGGGAACTCGCGGCCTGCGGGGAGGGGGCTGTCAGCCCGCCCTGGCCCCACGGCGCCGCCCCCCGACCCCGCAGCCCTCACGGAGCCGCCCACCGCAACACCTGAGTGACCCAGCACCCGGGGCGGGGCCGCGAGGGTGGCTGCTCGCCGAGCTGTACTGGGTGCCTCTGTGACGAGGGGCCCGCGACCCGGCCGCGCATGGCCTGAAGCCGGGACAGGCGCCCGGGGCGCTCTCTGTGGCCTGGGCCGCAGAGGAGGGGGGACCTGGGAGACGGGCACCTCCTGTCGGCCAGGTGCTGCCCTGGGCAGCTCAGGATGGGTCTGGGACCCCGCCGGGCCTGCTCAGGGCTGTACACAGCTGGGGGTGCTGCTCGACAGCCGCAAGCCCCCCCTCCCCGGCAAGGGGACCTCGAGGGCCTGGCCATGGGGGGAGGCGGGGTAGTGGAGGCCGCAGGTCCCAGAGCCTGGGGTGGGAGGGGCCACGCACCGTATTTTGTGGGGAACACGTCCTCGTCGGTCACCAGCTTCTGCACGGAGCTCATGACAAAGTCGACGTACTGGGGGGCCGTGCACTTCACCTTCTTGCCCCGCTCATCATACCAGTAGTACTGTCTGTGGGGACAGAGGGGGGCGGTGACGCCCGCGGCCAGGAGAGCTGGCTGTGCACAGCATCAGGAAACCAACGCGCACCTTCTGCTCTACACGTGGCCTCAGGCTTCGTTCTCTCAAAGGAACGCGTGTTGTTTTACGCATTATGTTAGATGTGTCCACGCTCTGTGCCTACCCCTTCCCGGAGGCCCTGCTGTGACTTGTCAGCTGGGCCTCGAGCCTCAGTAGCATCCCGGCTGCCACCAATAGAGGTCAAACCTTTGCCCTGGGCCGGGTGCTGAGGAGGCCTCTGTACATGGGAATCTGGCCCCTGGACGCCCCCCAAAGACCTCAGCCTGCCCCGTACACGGGGGTGGGTGTCGGGCAGACAGTCCTCAGGCTGCCCTGGGCCAGGGTGTTCGGGGTGTGGACACCTGGGTGTTCTTCTTACTGCGTAAGCCCAGCCGTGAAACCAAGCGCGTCTCCTAGCTCATGTAAACATGACCTATCCTCCAGCAGAACAAACACAAACCCCTGGTGGGCTCCCCCTGCAGCCACCAGCATCCCTCCCACCAAGGGCTCCAGTCTTCCCAACGGCAGGCCCTGTACCTTAAGGCTGGCTCGCCAAGAGCTGCACCAGAGCCCACAGCGGGGGCTGGGGGGACACAGGCTGCATCTGTCAGTGAGCGAGCGAGTGACCAGAGCACCCCCTTCCGTGGCCTAGCCGCCAACCCTGCCACAACCCTGCCCCAGCCAGCAGGTCTTCATGGAGACCTCCGCCCAGCATCCCCGCCCCCATTTAGATGACGTTACTTGGCTTCAGAACTGGCTTAGACCAGGTTCCCCCAACACCTCACCATCCCACCTTATCCCAGGCCAGCACCCCAGGCTGGCTCTGAGCACCCTGCCCTGATTTCCTGAGCTCACTAAGCACCCCTGGGTGACAGCCACGTGGGCTCACCCACCTCCACCACCTTGCCAGGCCTGTCGTCAGGACAGCAGGTCCCCATCTCTCGTGGCCAGCCTGACTCCAGCCAAAATAAAAAGGCACAGCCTGCCCACGTGACCTCAAGGCAGCCCTGCTGCCCGCCGCGCCCCTGCCCCCCACTGCCTCTAGCAGGAACCAAGGCTCTTCCCCGCCCCCAGGACCGGTTAGCTTATTTGTGCCCCTGGCAGGGCTGGGTGGGGGTCAGGCTGCAAGACAGGGAAAACAGCCCACACACAAATGGACAGGCCACCAGGAAAAAGGCCAACCTTCAGTGGACAAGGGGACACAGCCCTGACTGCCACTGGGTATCAGACCCCGCCCACTGCCACCCCTGCTCCTCCCACCCACTAGCAGGCAGACTACACTTCAGTGCCACCTCAGCAGAGCCCTCCCTGCCACGCCTGCTCCCAGGCTGCCCCTAGGCACTGCTGGCCCCGCAGGGAGACCAGGCTGCCCCACCAAGCCCCCGAGTTGGTCAGACAAAGCCCCAAGAAGCTTGCCAAGCTCCCTGCCGGTCCCCAGCAGGGATCCAGAGCCCTCCCCACCACAGGGTGGCCCTGCTGCCCGTCCTTCCCCGGCCCGGACATCGGCACCATCTGAGGACATGCTCAGTGAAAGGACAAATGAATCGTCCCTCTCCTCACAACAGCCCCTGGGGTCCCCGGACCAGCTCGGGAGGGGCCCCAGCCAGAGGTCAGACACCGGCCCCAGCGATTCCCCACCCTGCTTGGTGCTGGATGCGACTGGCCCCGGGTGCCACACTCAGAAAAAACCACCGGAGCTAGAAAATGGGAAACATTTTCATGATGTCAGGCCCAGAGAGACCAGCCCCTTCGGGGCACTGTGGTCGCCCCGCCTGCGTGACAGCTGGAACACTCTGCTTTCAACGTTCCTCTTCTTCGTTTTCATTTTATTTTTGAACTGTCACACAGTAAAGCTGACTGGTTTGGGCATGCAGTCTTATGCATTTTAACCCAAATAGAGGACCCACAACGGGGCACAGCTCCCACCCTGGCCCCCGGCCTGCTGGTCAGTCCCCAGCACACTAGTGACGTGTCCTCAGGAACGCCACGCGATGTCCTGGGCCGGGCTCTGCGATCCATGCCACTGAGATGGACACCTTGTGGACGCGCCAGTCTGTCCAGACATTCACCTGCCGAAGGACATGTGTGTGGCCTCCTGTTTGGGGCAATTACGGGTCAGGCTGTTAAAACCCTCCCGGGCAGGTGTTTGTATGAGCACTAGTTCTCGTTTCTCCAGGGTGGACGCCCAGGAGTGGGACAGCTGGGCCCACGGTAGGTGAACGCCTTGTTTCCTGAGAAACCATCAACACGTTCTCGGAGCGGCTATCCTGCCAGGACCCCCTCCATCCTCACCGGCACCCGGCGCGTTTTATCAGGCGCTCCTGCAGCGTGGTCTGAATTCATATTTCTCCACCTGCTCATGAGGCAGAGCCTCGCAGGTGCTCATCTGCCCTGCTTGGGTCCTCTTCCATGATCTGTCCAAGTCCTTTGTCCACTTGTGACCAGATTTTCTTACTGATGGGCTGTGAGGGCTCTTTATCCATTCCGTGCACTAGTCCTTTCTCGGATATGGGATTATTCTGCAGTCTGTCTTCCCTTTCTCCTAACAGTGTCTTTCTCAGAGCAAAAGTTCTAAATTTTGATGAAGCCCAGTTTACGGATTCTTTCTCGCCTATGGACTGCGGCTCGTGTCAACGACCCAGAACGCTTCGCCTAACGCTATCACGAAGGTTTCCTCCTGTGTTTTCTTCTAGAAGTTTCATGTTTTATGTCTAGAATTCACTTCAAGTTAATTCTGGCAGAAGAGGACATGCAGCTGACTGGGTTTTCCAACAGCTCTGGTTGAAAAGTCTGTCCTTTCTCCATTGAATTCCTTTTGTATCTGTCAAACATCAAAGGGGCCATGTTTGTGGGGGTCCATTTCTGGACTCTATTCTGTTGCACTGATCTCTGTGTCTCTTCCTTCACCACCACCATGCTGTCCTGATTACCACAGTTTTATAGTAAATCTTCAAAATAGGCTGTGGGACTCTTCCAACTTGACTGTTCTTTTTTCAAAATCACTGTAGCTATTCCAGTGACTTTGCTATTCCATATAAATTTTAGAATCAGCTTGTTTCTATCAATAAAAACTCTGCTAGGATCTTAACTGAGATTGCAATAAATGAATTTACACTTCTGGTGTGTTGAGTCTTCCCATCCATGAACACAGTGTGCCTCTCATTCACGCCAGTCTTTGATTCCACTCATCAGCATTTTGTAGTTTCCAGCATAAAGGTCCTGTGCATGTTTCCTTAAGTCTGTACCTAAGTATTTCATTGTGCTTGGAGCTACTGTAAATGATATAATCTTATCAATTTCGTGTTCCAATTGTACACTGCCAGTATACAAACGATGATTGATTTTTGTGTGCTGACCTTGCTAATGTATTCATTAGACTTTTTGCTAGAATCCTTGGGGGTTTTTTTTTTCCTACATAGACAATCATGTTGTATGCGAATACAGTTTTATTTTCTTCTTCTCCAATTTGAAGGACTGCTATTTCTTTTCTTGCCTCACTGCATGACCCATCTTGGGTAAATTGCGGTATTTTGTGCTTTCCAAGGAATTGGTCCATTTAGTCTAAACTGTCAAATTTAATGTACGCGGAGATTTTGGTGATGTTTCTCCATTATCTCCTGGGTTTATCATCATGTCCCCTTTCCATTCCTTATACGGATCATCTGAACCTTTTCTCTCTTTACCTTTGTTAGCTTTACTAAAGGTTCTCAACCTCACCAATCCTTTCAGGCGTCAGCTTACGGTCTCATGAACTTTTCCCACTGTTTGCAGAAATCAACGTCAGTGATTTCTGTTCTTATTTTACCATTTCTTTCCTTCTGCTCAATTTAGGGTTTTTGTTTTTTTTTTTTTTTTTGCTCTTCTTTTTTCTAGGTTCTTAATATGGAAGCTTAGATTGAATTGAGATCTTCTTCTAAAACAAGGGTTTAATCCTATAAACTTTCCTCTAACCCTTCCTTTAGCTGCGCCCCGCAAGTTCAGATGTGTTGCATTCTCATTTGCGGTCAGTTTAAAACATTTCCTAACTTCCCTTGAGACTCCCCTCTGGCCCATGGACTACTGAAAAGTATGTTTATTTCTAAACGTTTGGAGACTTGTCCTCTTATTGATTTCTCATGTAATTATGGTCAGAAAACGTGCTCTGTGTCACTCCGATCCTTTAAAGTTTGCTAAGGTCTGTTTTGTGAGCCAGGATATGATCTACACTATTTTGATGAATAATCCCAGTGCACTTGAAAGGGATGTGCATTTTACTGCCGAGGGGGGAGTGTTGTGTAAATGTCAATTCAGTCCAGTTGGCTGATGGTGTTATTTAGTTCCAGATTCTTGCTGACTTTCTGCCTACTAGTTCCGTCTACTACCAAGAGAGGAATGTTGAAATCTCCAACCATAATGTGATTTTGTGTGTTTCTCCCTTTGGTTCTGTCCATCTGCTTTGTGTAGAAGCCCTGTTGTTTGGTACATACACATTCAAGGGCAGTACTTCTTGATGAATTGACTCTTTTGTAAATAACGCAATCTTCTTCTTTATCCCTAGTTATTTTTTGCTCTGAAGTTTACTTTGGTATTAACATAGCCACTTTAGTTTTCTTCTGATTTGGTATATCTTTGTTGGTATATATTTTCGCATTCTTTCACTTTTAACCTACCAATGTAGGTTAGTGAATTTCTTGGGACTTCCCTGGCGGTCCAGTGGTTAAGACTCCACGCTTCCACTGTAGAGGGCGCAGGTTCGAACCCCTGGTCGGGGAACTAAGATCCCACATGCCACGTGGCACGGCAAAAAAAAAAAAAAAAAGTGAATTTCTTGTGTACACTGAAATCCATTCTTATGATCTGTCTTGTCACTGGCACGTTCACACCATTGACATTCACTGTAATTACTGAACTGTCTGAATTTAAGTTTACCATCATTTACTATTTGTTCCCTTTGTTTTCACTCCTTATATTTCCTGCTTTCTTTTGCGTTATTTTTAGTATTTCCTTTCAATTTATCTATTATGATTTTGACTATGTCACTTATGTAACTTTTTTAAGAGATTGCTCAAAGGATTATAAAATGCATATGACCTTTCCATGCTGTACCTGGAGCCAAGAATCACCTCCACAAGTGGAATCACAGAGCCGACCAGCACACAGGGCTCTCTGCTGCCCCAGGACACTACTACTGTCTCAGTGTTCGGTCCACACATGCTGAAGACCCATCAGACAGGGTGATGGGTTTTGCTCACCCACCAGACACGCTTTAAAGAGCTGAAGGAGAGTGGAGCGGCCCATCACATCTCCCGTCCCTTGCTCTCCCCGAAGCCTGCTGTCCCGCCTTCCCTTCTAGCGCCACTTCCTTGCTGTGTGAAGAGCTCCCTGCGCAGCTCTGCTGCTGCGAGTTAACCCTCTTGGTCCCCCTTCCTCTGAGAAGCGTCTCTATTTTACCTTCATTCTTGAGGAGCATTACGTGGACCCCCGGGGGGGCCGCTCTTTCCTTTCCGCACCTGAACGGTGTTCTGGAGCCTCCTCCTGGCCCCAGCGGGGGAAGGAGAGCCGCAGCCGCCGGCACCACATCCGCACAGGGGCAGCGCTGCTGGCTCTGATGCTCTGAAGGTGTAGAACCTCTTCAGCAGTCTGATTATGTGCTTGCGGTGGATTCACTGGGTTTATGCTGCTTGGAGTTCACTAAGCTTCCTTTGTGTCTTGACCAACCTTGGTAAGTTTTCAGCCATATTTCTTCAAATATGTTTTGGGCATGGCCCTTTCTCCTCTTCTTTTGGGACTCCAACATTAGCCTTTGGTTTCTGTCCTTCAGGCACCAGCAGGGTGGAGAAGGGCCTCTGGCCTGGGCTCAGCCCCACGCCAGGCGCCGGGTGGACCGGATGGTCCCGGGAGAGCAAGTGGCTCTGTGGACCCTGACGGGCCTCCCTTTTCCTATTAAACTAATTCATGTGTTTCCATTCCTTGATCTCAAATGATTCCTAGGAAAGCATTTATATGCATATCAATTCATATAAATCTACAAAAACCCTACAAAGTAGGTTACAGATGAGAAGAATGAACAGTAGAATTCTCCAAATCCCCAGGCTTCCAAGTTTTACACGGCAGAGCCAGCATCTAGACACACATCTGCCTGCCACCAAATCCTATGCTCTTTCAAGGAGCCTCTTCTCAAACACATCAATACTGGAAGGGCAGTGGTGCCACGGAGGGGCCCCGGCTTCCCCACTCGCCAGCCCACAGGCCAGCTGTGATGCCGCCTGGTCAGGCACACAGCTGGCAAACGTCCTCCCAGGACGCCACACACATGGCTCTGCAGCACTGCCCCTGCCCACTTCCAGCTGCTGTGGCCATGTCTGCTCTACAGAGTCCACTCTGTCCCATGCTCTTCTCCTGCCCAAGCTCACCTCAAGCCTGCTTCCAGCACTGCCCACCCAACACTGCCCCATCCTCCCTGGGCCATGCCTGGCTGTGGCTATCTGGGGACACACGTGACACGTGAGCATACCATCAATGGGTCTCGCTGGCTGAGTAAGGAGTGAAGAGCAGCTGTCTTCTGCACTTGTGCCCTCTGAAGGGCGGGGGAACTCTACCCTCTGCCTGTGCTGAGGCTTTGGGTGGGCTCTCAGCAAGAGGAGGGCCCACATGTCTGGGCCTGAGCTGGGTCTGCCCGCAGCCTACAGGCAGGGCGAACTCAGGACGGCAGCACTGACGTGTCCACTAGTGGAGGCCCGCTGCTCACATGTGCTCCTATCAGCCCCTGGCCTGCAGAGGAGATGTCAGAAAGGAGCTTCTGTGCCCCCGAGCCACACCCCGCCCGGGATGAGCCCCTGCAGACCTGGCCTCTTGCCTGTGGCCTCTTCTGTGGCTTCTGCTACTTGGGCCGGTGGCAAGCTCAGGGCCATGTGGTGGCTCTCCTATCCATGTGGCCTCCAAGAGCTGCCACAGAGGCAGTGGGGTACCCTGGAGCCCCTCAGGGATGCCTGCTTACTGAGGAAACGAATGGCACGTGCTTCCAGAAGAGAACAGCTTGCACCAGGCCTGCAGGACGTCACCTCACGGGAAGGTGCCAAGGCGGCCCAGCCCCACGGACCAGCTCCACGGACCAGCAGCGGGTGGGGTGTGGTAGGGCCGCCTCCACACAGAGCAGGAGCTCTGGGTTAGAGCCATCAGCCGGTAGGGCCAGGAGCCACAGCAGAGAAACACGCCCTGCTGTCTCAGGAAGCCCAGCGGGCACGTCCTGGGGAAATGTCCTTGCCCCCAGGAACGCGTCCTGTCAGCCCCTGGCTGGCTCCCAGCACCCGTGCCCCCGAGGGACCCACACCACTGGGGTCCCAACCTCTGCAGGGCTCTGCTTCCCGTCGCCCTGCCAGGCCCCGGGCCCGTGAGGACAGGAGGTGCAGCCTGGCGAGGACCCTGCTGAGGAAGGCACTGAGCCACTGGGAGACCTCGAGCGGAGGCCGCGAGCGTGGGGTCTGAGAAGATGGAGTGCAGCGGCCGGGGGCACGGCCACAGCCTGCCCGAGCCCCCAGGACAGGGCCGCACCAGGCAGTGACTCACGTGTTGCACACGGCCATCGTCTGGCACGCCTCCCCCGTGCAGAACTCTGAGATGGTGCTGTACTGGAGGTTGACGTGGTGGAAGAACGTCGTGGCTGGAAGGGAAGAGAAAGGCCAGGCGTGAAAACGACACCGGGGCGCCACTCTGCGTCTGCAGCGTCCTGCAGGCCCGGGGGGACCAGAGCCCCTCTCCTCGGGCCCCTGCTGTGGGGGCTGTGCTTATCTCAGACCAGAGACCGAGGCCCCAGCGCAGCATCATCCTCGGGAGCGGGCGGCACGGACCAGACGGTGCTGAGCGGGGCAGGGTGCCCGAGGACTGAGACAGAGTCCCCTCCACGAGGGGTGGGGCAGCAAACCTCCCACCCCAGCCCCTTGACCACACCCTGCTCTATGGTCACCAGCTGATCGGGGGCACCGCTAAGGCAGGCGGCAGCACCAGCTCACGGCCACAAAGCCTACCGCTCTCAGGAGGAGAGCTGGCGCCTTGCCCTGCATGGGGCATCCCACAAACCCTGAGCCTGTCCGGCAGGCGGGGGTGAGTCCGCCACCCTTCCCATAGGCCATGGCCTTCCTGCTACCACAGCACTGCCGGCCTTGCAGCCATGCTCCTGTCCCACGGTGCCCCCCTGGCCCTGGTGTCCTGTCCCCCGGTGCGACCAGGACCTGCACTGAGTCCCCGCATCTGAGGGGACCCTGAGTGCCTGGCAGGGCTGGTCACCCCAGGCCTCGGCTTCCAGCTGACGCGGGTGGTTGGGGGGGCGGTGCTGAGCACCAGCTCCGGGGGGTCCTGCGGGAAACGGGGGGCTGCCCTCCTGGCCCTGCCAGCCCGCCCCCACGCACTGTTGCTGGCCAGCCACTCATTGAGGTCGATCTCCCGGGGCAGCACCACCAGCTCCTTGAACCCGAAGTCGGTGATCCTGGACTTGGTGTACTCCGGCTCCAGGTACACCTTCTTCTCCTCGGCGACGGGCTTCTTCCCGTTGGGCTTGGCTTTGGACTTCCTGCAGAGACAAGGGAGCGCGGGGTCACGGCAGATGCAGGCGTGGAGGCTGCGGGCCGGCCCGGGAGACGAGCAATGCCGGAGGACGCCTCGGGTGCTTCTGCTCCTGTGGGCCCAGGCGTGGGAGGAAGCTGCCCTGCGCCCGTGCCCTCCCTTGCCACTGTCAGGGGCCCAGGGCCCAAACCTGGAACCCAGGGCGGGCAGGGAGCTCCGGGACCATCGAAGGGTGTGGGGTGGTGGCCACACCAGCCGGCTCACCTGCCACACGTGACACCGCGGCCCTGCAGCCCCTCTTGGCCCCCACCTGGGCCTGGGGTCCCGCTGCAGGGACACAGGGATGCGCACCACTCGGCCAGGCCGTGAGCCTCTGTGCAGTCCCACCATGCGTCCTGCTGCGCAGATGATCCAGCAGCCCGCCCTTACTGAGCACCCACTGTATGCCGACGCCCCAGGCCACCCCACTGAGGCCTCCTGTCATCACGAGCTCATGGCTCACCCGCCTGACACCTGCCCGCTGGCCTGTGCTCTCTCCCAAGTAGTGCACGGTGCAGGTTCCAGGCAGAGACAGAAGTAGGCGTGAGCAGATGTTACAGAGATTTGATGAAATGGCCACTTTTCACTAAATCTTTCTTGGTCAGGAAAACAGTTCTTTTCCATTAAAAACATGCTGTCATAGAGCACAGGATGGGCCTGTTACGGCTATTTTTACATGCACGAATACGTATTTTTGCAACATCTTTGTTCTCCTACAGCGAGTGTCAGTACCTAACCCGTGAAGCAAAGCTCTTTGGGGCTGAGGGAGCCTCAGCCCCACCTCGGCGGAGAAGGCGGCGGCCCCAGAACCAGCCTCCCGCCAGCTGCCCCCAAGGCTGGAGCCGGGGCCACGGTGTGTGCGGCCCAGGCAGGCCAAGGAGATGGCGCATCCCCTAAGGAGGAAAACTGCCCAACAGAGTGGCCCAGAGCCTGCGGCCGCGACGCCAACCCAAGTCACCGTGTCTGCCACAGGCTGGAGCCCGAGCTGGGCGAAGTGAGTGGTGTGCCGAGGGGCTGCCTTCCAGGCGCCGCCGCCCCACGTCAGCCAGGGTGGAGCAAGGCTGCTCTCTCCCGCACCTGTAGGCCCACGACGTTTCAAGGTTAAGACTGGGTTCTTGGGCCGGCGTGGGTTGAAAAACCGAAGGAAAAAACCCCTAAGAGCGCGGATTAGTCTCTTGCTTCTTTTACTTGAATGATGAAACCTTTAGTGGCAGACATCACAATTTCCAGAAAACAAACTGCAAATCAGTCAAACCGTCCTGAGTCTCACTGACCAGAAGAGGCCACTTCCGGCCGTAGACTCTCAAGGAGGGACCACCTGGGACAGAGGATGATCGAGGGAGACTGAGGGCCGGCACAAAGCCCAGTGCGGCCTCCCACCCCAAGGGGCAGCCACAGGCCGGAGGGACGCTGCCTTGCAGGGGAGGGTGGGCGGGCCGAGGACCTGGGCCCGGGGGCTGGGGCTCGCGGCTGAGTCCTACCAGCTCATACCCCCGTGGTCTCCAGTGCCCGCAGAAGGAGAGGCGCTCCCGTCGCTGCCTCCGGCGCCTGGGTGAAAACACTGCGGCCCCGCACAGGGCGCAAACTAGACACTGCCGTCCTCTGTCCCAAGGGCTCTGTGTCCCTCCCACCCCCGCCAGCCCCGCTGAGGCCCACATTTGGCGGCACGGGGGGTGTCACACGGGATGAAAGGTCTGCAGCTCCTGACCTTGCCGTTTTTTCCCTTCTGTTTTGAAAAGTTGCTAGTGGTTTATTTAAGAGAAACAGGAAGGAAAAATGCTCCCTGAATGCCAGGGAAATGTTTTCCCTTCAGCTTCTCACAGCAGATCTTTGCCTTAAAAGGCAATGTGTGCCTGGCCTCTGGGTGCAGCGCCGGCAGTGGCCAGTGCTGGGCAGGGGCCACAGTGTCCTGGGGACGGGCCCGGGGGGGCTGGAGCTGGAGCGCGGGTGTGAACACCGCACAAACACAACCACAAGCAGGGGGCACTCTGGGGGTCCCCACGGCGGGCAGCTGGGGCTGTTCACTGGGGACAAGTGTGGGCACGGGCTGTGGGGGCCCTGCAGCCGCTCCCAGTGTACACAGAGGGGGACAGGGCCCCAGAAGGGCTGAGGGCGCCCTGGGCTCCCCGGAGATGGGTGGGTGGGGTGCTTTCCTGACCCTGGGTCTGTGCTGAGCCACGTGCCACCCGTCAGAAAGCCTGCACTCGCTTGGAAGGCCCCCATGTCCACAGCCCCAAGCACACAGGATGCACCTCCAACCTCAAGCCAACTTCTGCTCTGGTCACCCCTGAGTGTCCATCCACTGGGCAGATTCCCAGCTACAAGTCCGGCCAGGCTTAACCGACCCCCTCGCCTGTGCTCCAAGCGTGTACCTGCCCGTCCCCCGCCACAGTGCACACCTGGCCTGGGCCAGCCACCCACTCGGAGCCTCAGTGTCTGGGTGTAGAGGCTGCCGCCACCACACGTGAGGGTGGGATGAGCGGGGGCCTGGGCTGTGACGCCACTGCCAGACCCACCTCCTCGCCCCGCGCTCAGGGAACACACGGCAGCAACAGCGGCCGGGTGGCCTTTACATGAGCGACCACGGGCAGAGCGGCAGCAGGAAGCGGCCGTCACGGAGGGGCGTCACGGGGCCTCGGGCACAGGCCTGCTCCAGGGTGCCATTGTGCTGAGGGTGTGGTGTCCTCGTGCCCACACGTCCCTTCCAGGGAGACCGAGAGCCCCTCCGGCTGAGGGCACCCTCCGTGTTTGGTTCTCAGAGGGGCGGGGGGGGGCAGCCCCAGGAGGACCTGGGTTTCTGCTCCGTGCGACAGGCGTAGGGGGCTCTGGGCCATGATCTGTGTGGTCAGAGGCCTCCACCTCCTCGCCCCGCCTCACTCCTCCGTCTGCACCTGCCCTCCTACAACCAACAGGCAGGAGCGCCCCGGGGTCCCCAGGCCCCGCCTCATCACCCAGCGCTGGCCTAGGGCCCCCAGACCCAGCACGGCTGGGAACGGCTCTCCTGCCAGGTCGGCCAGCCCGGACCTCTCTGCCCTGTCCTCGAGTCTTCCTTCACACCCTCCCCCAGGAGACGACGGCCATTGACCAGGTGGTGGCAGGACTGAGTGACAAGCCGGCCTGGGGCGAGTCTGGGGACGTGGAAGGGCCTGCCACACCTGAGTGCCACCACCCCAAGTTCTGTCCTTTCTAGAGAGGTGAAGGCTCCTGGCCAAGAAGCTCGGCCCCTTAGAGCACAGAGTTTCAGACGACACATGGTGACCTTGGAAGTGGGACAGGCTGCTGTGTGACATAGCGGCGGCACGGCACCCATCCTCGGTCCCTGAGGCCGTGTCAGCAGAGAGGACGGGACTCTCCGCCCAGAGGCACCAGGCTCCTAAACGGGCCCTGCCCAGCCTAGGGCCAGGCACCCTCTTACCAGCTGGGGCTCCCACAAATCCACAAAAGGGAAGGCTGGGCATGGCCCCGGTGTGGAGGGACAACTGTGGAACCCCTGGGCCGCGGGCAGGAGGGTGGATGCCAGGCCTCAGCCCACCCAGGGTCCACCGCGCCCTCCTGGGAGAAAGAATACGGCTGTGGGCACACGCGGAGAACCCCCCACCCCCGTCTTACTGTGGGCTCCGAGGCCGAGTCCCACCCGGCCGACGCCAAACACCTGGGAGGGGGCGCGGCTCCGCAGGAAACACCTTCTGACGGTCTCCCCAGTGGACGCCCACACAGCCTCACCCCTCAGCCTCCCCTGCTCCTGAGGCCTTTACTGCGGCGGGGAGGCAGGGTCCCCACACCCGAGGCGTGGACTCAGCTGGGTCCCTCCGCCAGTGTGCCTGGCCTGGCACATTCCTGTCTACACGACCCCGCCCAAGGTCACTCTGCCCAGTCCCCTGGGATGGCCCCTCGGCTCAGTGTGGCTTGGGCCAGACACAGATGGCCATGCAGCCCAGCCCACCGGGTGAGATGGCTGGAGCGTGTGGGAGGGGTCCAGCCCAAGGAACGTGGATGCACCGCGGGCCCCGCCTGCACACAGCCCCGAGTGCTGGGGTGGGCGGCGGCCGAGGGAACCCACCGAACGCCGAAGGCCCACGCCTCGAGCTCAGTTCACTGTCTCCATCCAAAGGCAACTCGGCTGGCCCAGACTCCAGACCCCAGGCACGGCCACCCCTGGGGGCCACCACAAGGACGCCTTGGTCGGCACGGTCCTGCCCTCCAGGGGGTAGCAAGCAGCTTCCGGGTTTTACAAACAAATGAATCCTCCAGGCATCGTTAGTGCTGGGCAAGGGGCCGGTGGTCTCCAGGCAGAGCCGGCTTGGCTGCAGCCAGTGAGGTGGCGCTGGATCAGGGGACGAGACGGGCAGGTGGGGGAGGCTCCCCTCTCTCCTCAGGGCCCCGCCCACACTGCTGTCCTCCCCCCCAGCCCCCCCAGCCAGTGCCTGGCTCGCAGTGCTCCCCAGATGCTGGCACAGATGCCAGAGCGGCCAAGGTTCTCACCAGGAGGGGGATGCAGGGCAGATTCAGCAGGGGGCACCTGCAGGAAGTCAAGGGAGCCTGGAGGCCTGAAGGAGGGTGGGCAAGTCTGGAGGTGGGGCGGCCTGGAGTCAGCCTTGTGGGACAGAGGGGGTCGAAGGTCTGGGGTGGGGAGTGGGGTTATGAGGCTCCTGCAGATGTGTGAATGTGGACTCAGAGTAAAACACAGATGCCGGGAAGGTCCCACAGGAAGGCCCCATGGAACACTGGGCGGTGCCACAGGTGGTCTTAGAAAGGAGGAGCCCACAAACAGGGATGCCCACCCTCCCAAGCCCCCAAGTTCTATGCAGTGGGACTGGGAAAACCGCACTCTGACACTTAGAGACACCCCCCCACCCCACCCCGCCGCCTGGACCATGTTCTCACCGGTCCTAACTGGCCCTGGTGACCAGCCCCTTCCCAGAGCAGAAACTCAGAGGCTGAGGGCTGGGAAGACCCCCACAGAACCCCTGTCAAATCCCCACGGGCTGCACGAGGCAGACGCTGTGGAGAGAGACACGCAGGTCACCTCTCCTTTAACAGCCTGGCAGTCAGCACCCAAACAAAGCGCACTTTCACAGTCGCGCGTCCCCTACAAAATAAGAGGCCAGTTGAGAGGGAAGCCACGTCCCCTACAAAATAAGAGGCCCGTTGAGAGGGAAGCCACCGGGGCAGACGAGCGAGGGCTGCAGACACCCGAGACCCACCGTCCATGCACACCAGGTGCTCGGGGCACTGCTCCGCCCAGAACCGCAGCCACGAGGCGGCCACGCTGCTCAGAGCCCGCATCCTCCCCTACCCATGAGCTAATAAGCTGCTCTTCTTCTAACACCTGGCTGGACCGCCACCTTCACTGGGAAGTCTTCTCGGATCCCCCAGGGGGACGGATCCCCCAGGGGGACGCAGACAGCTCAGAGGGCTGGCCCTGCCTTCCTGTCCTCCGTGGAGCCTGTTTCGGCATCCGGGCCCCTCCCACCATGCCATGTGCACACAGGCACGCACCGGCCCCCACTCGCTGTGGGGACGTCACCGTTCCTGATCTGAACCAACGACCTGGAGGGGGCACTGCCAGCTTGCCCCACACCTTTACATCGCAGGGCAGACTCCCCGTGAGTCCTCCCTGGGTGGCAGAGGGCGGCCCCTGTGGGAGAGGAGGGTGCAAACCATAGGAAGCCGGAGACACACAGGTCATAGAGCTCACTGCTGGTCCCACCACCAGCCACACTTGGCCCTCACCCCAGACCCTGACCAAGAGGCCTGCTTAGCTTGGTTGCAATTAAAGACAGGATTAGAAAAGCAAAAGATACTTTCACTTCAAAGTTAGGACCCACCCAAATTACAGGCAAATACAAGATTATTACATTGAAGGAAACCTGATTTCAGTCTAAACTGTGACACATCCTGGGTGAGGAGGGACAGCGCTCCTGACCCCGCCAGGAGCCTACCCTGGGCCCCCTCCCCTCCCAGCTGGGCTGAGCAGGGCCCCCCAGTGCTCTCCCGAATGCCTGAAACAGACGCTTCCACCCTGAGACAGAAGAGGCGCTGGAGTTTCTCCAAACCCCTCGTGTGGGACACCGGAGGCTCTGCTGCAGCAGGTCAGAAAAAGAGGTGAGAAAAGAGGTCAGAACCTGCTTTTCTGGTAACGCCCCTACAGCAGACAAGGCCCAGGGCAGTTCTCTAGATAAGGCCGCTGGTGGACAGACTGGTCATCCTGCCCGGGGACCAGAGGCCAGACGCCGGGGGCAGCGAAGGCTCTGTCCAGCAGGCTCGGGAGGGCACGAGGCAGGTCTGCTGCGGTCTGAGACGTGGTTCATCAGAAAGACGGACACCGGTCATGGGCGCCCCCTGTTCTTACCCAGACCCTCTGGGCCAAACACTTCCCTTTCAGGCCCCCCCCACCAAACAGCAGGAAACACAGGACTCTAGGGAGAACCTCACTCCAAACACAGTTCTGACCATGTCCAGCTGGTTCCCAGGCATCCACAGGTGGGGCCGTGCCTGCCCGGGGCCCACCAGCCCCCCAGTCCCACCGGAGGGGTCTGCACACCACGGCAACTTGACCCAGAGGACAACTACGGCCACTCCTCCCGAGACTGAGCCCTGGGGCAGGGACTAGGGACAGTCACACAGCCCTGCCGTCCCTGCCACGTTCACCTGAGCACTTTGCCGACTGCCTGAAGCACCATCTTGCAGCTGAGCCCGGTCTTCGGGGGCTGGCTGAGCAGAGCCCGGTCTGTGGGGACACTGCTGTGGTCTCCCAGCATGATGGGCAGCGCGGAAGCAGGCTGGGAAAGTGGGAGCCCCGGCACCGGCGCTGCTCCCCGCCGCCCTGCCCTCCGAGCAGCCCTGACTCGCCCTGACTCGGAGCCAGCCACGCCAGCCAATGAGGACAGCGGGGGAGGAAGACGGGCTCTGGCCGGGCAGGGACAAACAGCTGCTCCTTTTACAGGCGGAGGCCGGCCAAGTCTGGTTACACGAGGGAGTGTCTCAATCGCCTTTTCAAAGTGGCGCCGTGCGGGCGCAGCGTGGGGCGAGGCCACTGCCGAGGGGACAGGCATAGCCCAGAGAGGACCCGTCAGTGAGGCCCCGCCGTGGCACGAGGGCCCTTCCGATGTGGCCGGGAAAGCTCTCTGAGCAGGCGGGGCTGGGCGGGCGCCCCAGCTGGGCTGCAGGGAACGGCTGACCATGCACCTGCAGAGTGCAGACGCGGGCGTGTGGTGTCTGCATCCACAGCCTTGGGAAGACAAGGCCGGGGCGCCCCAAGCAGGAGCCGAGCTGCCGTAGGCAGTGGGCGGTGGAGATCCCAACGGACACGGCCAGAGGCCTCCCGAGGGGGCACAAGAAGCTGTGTGGCCGAGGCCTCCTTTACAGCTGGGCCACACACAGGAGACCACCAGGGACTGCAGAAGCAAACGTGTGAAAGAGGACGACGCTCTCCACAGCCCTCATCTCTGGCTGACCATGGGGACAGCTGCCAATGGGGGCAGCATGGCCACGCTTGTCCAGAAGCCCCGTCCAGTGGCAGCACAGCACCCCGGCCTCAGCACAGGATTCTGTCCCCGACGCTGTGTCCCACAGAGGGCCCGGCCAACCATCCGTCCAGGCTCAGGCCAGCTCTGTGCGGCGGCAACTCCAAAGCCACCGAGAGGACTACCTGACGTGCAGTGGGGCAGGCTGACTGCCCGGGCAGAGCGGGGGACGCTGACAGAGTCCCGGCTGCACGTGAGGACCAGGGCAGGAACCCAGGCACCGCGCTCACCCAGTGAGCGAGTGAGACTTGGAGGCCCTGGGTTGGGAGGACACAGCCTCCGGGCAGTTGGAATAACTGAGCAGAAGGTGCCTCTAGGCTCATCTTGTTATATTCCCTGCCCTGGTCCCACAACCAGCCACTTCTTCAAGAAGCCCTGGGTCCCTCTATTGGAGAAAATTAAAGACCGAGACCTGGGACTTCCCTGGTGGTGCAGTGGTTAAGAGTCCACCTGCCAATGCAGGGGACCACGGGTTCGAGCCCTGGTCTGGGAAGATTCCACATGCCGCGGAGCAACTAAGCCCGTGCGCCACAACTACTGACCCTGCGCTCTAGAGCCCGCAAGCCACAACTACTGAGCCCATGTGCCACAACTATGGAAGCCTGCGTACCTAGAGCCCGTGCTCTGCAACAAAGAGAAGCCACTGCAACGAGAAGCCGGTACACCGCAACAAGGAGTAGCCCCCACTCACCCCAACTACAGAAAGCCCATGCACAGCAATGAAGACCCAACACAGCCAAAAATAAATAAATTTTTAAAAATGAATAGATAAAAATAAAGACCGAGAACTGACCTGGTCATCCCACTGCTGCTGGGATGTCGTTTTCCTAGACCCTCTCAGCTGACAGAGCAAGGAGACGGGTGTGCATGCCAACCTATATGTTTACATCCCCACTCACGTGTACACTGCAACCACATTAGGCTAGACGTGAGTTCATCCTGACGCCTCCATCTCTGATCCAACCCCCGGGGATCATTCCGACCTCCCCCACTGATGGTGATAAACCTGGAGGTTCTGAGTGGCTTTGTGAAACCACAGAAGAAGAGGCTCCCATGCTGTGAAGGCAGCAAAGCCATCGGGCCCAGAACCCTAGTTGAAGGTGCAGGAAAATGTGGTGCACTTAAGAGCAAGTGGGAAAAGCTACAAGGTTGAGTCCAATGAAAATAGAAAAGAATAAGGAAGAGTAATAACTAAAACACTCCAAAAAGACACACACAAAACAGATGAAAACTGTACCTCGATAAACTGGAATTGGAAAACCTCAGAAATAAAGTGATTTAAAGAAAGATTTGAGGGCTTCCCTGGTGGCGCAGTGGTTGAGAGTCCGCCTGCCGATGCAGGGGACACGGGTTCGTGCCCGGGTCCGGGAAGATCCCACATGCAGCAGAGCAGCTAGGCCCGTGAGCCATGGCCGCTGAGCCTGCGTGTCCGGAGCCTGTGCTCCGCAACGGGAGAGGCCACAACGGTGAGAGGCCTGCGTACCGCAAAAAAAAAAAAAAGGAAGATTTGAAAAGAGAGACAAAAGAACTCAAAGTAAGAACCACAAATGAAAGTTCCTGAAATGAAGTCTAGACTAGAAGAAACAGCAAGGCAGTGCCATGGGAAACAGAAGATGGAAGGGGATTTGGCCAACCACTGAGCTGAGGGCCACAGGATGGAGAAGAGCAGCTACAGGAGCTGTGAGCCCAAACAGCTTGTATCCCATATCCTGAGATGTTGCTAAATTCACCTTTTTTCTTTAGCTCTAGCAGACTTTTTGCAGTTTCCTATAATTTTATAAGTATATATGACCCTGTTATTTCCCAAACAAACTACCTCTTCCTTTCCAATATTTATACCTTTTATTTCTTTTTCTTCTTCTCTCTCTCTCTCTCTCTCTCTTTTTTGCCTCATGGCACAGCTAAGACCATCAGCACAGTGCTGAACAGAAGTCGTGAGAGTCAGCATCCTTGCCTGGTTCCTGATCGCAGGGCAAGATGTTCAGTCTAGTCTTTCAATTGAACATTTGATATGAGCTCTAGATTTTTTCCGGGTGCCCTTTACCACTTGAGAACATTCCCTTCTATTCCTGGTTTGCTGATTGCTTACGTGAATATTTTGTCATGCACTGTTTCTACATCTAATTGAGATTTTTTTTTTCCTTTATTCTGTTAATGTGGTGAATTATACTGACTGATTTTCAAAGGTCAGCTAAGCTTAGACTTCTGGGAAAACACCCTCTCTGGGTTATGACCTGTTATTCTTTTTATGTATTTTTGCCGGATTCGCTTTGCTAATGCTTTCTTAGGGAGTTTTACACCTGTGCTCACGGAGGACAGTGCTCTGCAATTGTCCTTTTCTTGTTAGGTTCTTGTCTTATTTTAGCCTCACTGAATTAGTTAGGTAGTATTTCCTCCTCTATGTTCTGAAAAGGCATGTGTAAGAATGTCTGCAGTTTCCCAGTGAGGGGTGCTCTTGGTGTCTTGTGGGTGGAGGCCCCACACAAAGACCCGTCCTGCCCCAGCATCGACAGTGCTGTGCAGGCGGCAGACACTCCGCGAGGGGCGTGCAGCTCACGTGCTCCCGCGCCCACGAGGCCTCCACACAGTTACACGGCTGCTTCTCCACCTGCTCCTGGGCCAGCATCACCAGCATCACCTGGGAGCCTGTCGGAAATGCCAGTTCTCAGGCTCACCAGCCCGGTTGACCGGAAACTCTGCAGAAAAGCCGGGATGTGGGTGAAGAAGCTCTCCAGGCGAACCTGACACGCGCGACGCTCTAAGGACACCTGCTGAGGGCGGTGTGAGCACCAAGCACATCCCACCTGGAGAGCCAACCCTGCATGACAGGAGCACCAGACACGACGTAACTCAGAAGATGCAAGAGGAAGGGGAGCGGCAGGGGTTTCCAGCTAATTTCAACACTGCTCCTGTGAGGGAACCAAGAGACAACAGCCAAAAGACGGCGGGACTGAGGGCTTCACAAAGGCAGCTGCTTGAAAAAACAAACATTTCTAAATACTCTTTTTATTGTAGCAAAATACACGACATAAAATTTACTATTACAACCATTTTTAGGTGCACGGCTCAGGGGCATAAAGTATATTATTCACTGCTGTGCAACCATCACCCCCATCCGCCTCCAGAACTTCTCCATCCTCCCAAATGGACACTCTGTCCCCATTAAATACTCACTCCCCTCCCCTCCCCCAACCCTGGGCACCCACCGTCTACTTCCTGTCTCTATGGATGGGACTCCTCTAGGGACCTCACGTGAGTGGAATCAGACAGGATTTGTCCTTCTGTTTCTGGCTTATTTCACTGAGCATAATGTCCCCAAGGCTCATCCATGTTGTAGCCTGTGCACCTTTTAAACCAGAAAGCCCTAAAACTGCCAGTTGGGACGTCTACTCCCAGTAGAGAGGGAGTAATGAGGACTGGTTTTTACCTCCTGCTTCAAACAACAGGACACTGGACAAATGTATGACAGTTTTCAAGACACTGGACGTCAGGCAACAGAGCGCGGTGATCCCTGCAAGACGGGAACTGGCGAGGGGACGCTGCAGTGGCCTGCTCCCGCCTGGATGGATCAGCATGGTAGGAAGGGGACCCAGGAGGGCCCCGAGGGATCCCAGCTGAGGCGTCTCAGCGGGGAGTCTGAGAGGCCAAACAGCCAGAGGTCAGGGGGCAGCGCCCCAGGGGGACAGGACACTGAGCGGAAAGCGCTGCAGAGAGAACTCGGCAGACGTGCTGAGGGGCCCCGTGGGGTCCCTGGCTGAGCTCGGGACAGGGCACATGTACAAGGAACTGCTGCGGGAGGGACAAGCCACCCAGAAGGATCTGCAGGACCCTCCTCAAGGTTCGCATGGGCCCAAAAAGAGCTCCTTCCCCACCAGCCAGAGTGGCACCAGGTGGAGACCTCCAGAGGTCCTGTGTCAGTGGTGAGAAAAACCAGCCTGAAATGAAACATCGCCATAATCCCACCAACACAGAACAAACACAAGAACTGAAAAGACTCAATCGTTTCCAACTGAGTCCAAGGAACACAGACACACAAAAAACAACCAGCACCGAACAAGGCAAAGACCCCAAGGCCTTGCATCCAACCTCAGGAAAGGAGGAGAACAATCCATTACTAGGAATCAAAGCAGTCGATCAAAAAGGACCCCAAAATGGCTCAATGACACAGTCAGAAGACAGTGGTGTTAAAACGTCACCATGACTGTATCCCATCTGTTCCAGAGACAAGAGAAACACTGGACACGTGATAAGGAGATTTAAAAAAAAAACGTGGTTTTTTTTTTTGAAGATCTAAATTGAACTTGTAGATATGGAAACTA